CGTGTTTCCCTTCAGTACAAAAAATCTACTCCAATTTGCTCCAGAAATTTTGCTTGTTTCCCTTCAGTACAAAAAATCTAGTCCAATTTGCCCCAGAAATGTTGCTTGTTTCCCTTCAGTACAAAAAACCTAATCCAATTTGCTCCAGAAATTTTGCTTGTTTCCCTTCAGTACAAAAATTCTAGTCCAATTTGCTCCAGAAATTTTGCTTGTTTCCCTTCAGTACAAAAATTCTAGTCCAATTTGCTCCAGAATTTTTGCTTGTGTCCCTTCAGTACAAAAATTCTAGTCCAATTTGCTCCAGGATTTTTGCTTGTTTCCCTTCAGTACAAAAATTCTAGTCCAATTTGCTCCAGAATTCTTGCTTGTTTTCCTTCAGTACAAAAAACCTAGTCCAATTTGCTCCAGAATATTTGCTTGTGTCCCTTCGGTACAAAAAACCTAGTCCAATTTGCTCCAGAAATTTTGCTTGTGTCCCTTCAGTACAAAAATTCTAGCCCAATTTGCTCCAGAATTTTTGCGTGTTTCCCTTCAGTACAAAAATCCTAGTCCAATTTGCTCCAGAAATTTTGCTTGTGTCCCTTCAGTACAAAAATTCTAATCCAATTTGCTCCGGAAATTTTGCATGTTTCCCATCAGTACAAAAATTCGAGTCCAATTTGCTCCAGAAAATTTGCTTGTTTCCCTTCAGTACAAAAATTCGAGTCCAATTTACTCCAGAAAATTTGTTTGTTTCCCTTCAGTACAAAAATTCTAGTCCAATTTGCTCCAGAAATTTTGCTCGAAAATTTGCTGGTCAACCAATCTGTTTTGAAAGCCCATAATCCTGATGGAAGGGGAGGTTCTGGAGTTCCCCCCGGGTAATCTAACACAATCTGCTTGCTCTATTCGTGGATGTGTCTTTAATAAATTTAAGTAGTTTTTGTGATATTTTTTTGATCATGTAATTGTTGGGGGTGAGGTTGGAGTGATTGTGGATTGAATTTGGTTTCAACATTAAACGGCTCGTTTGAACTTTCCGGTCTTGTATCCTGTGCCATTTACTCCTTACCCTATGAGGATCTCATCGAGCATTCAGGCACTTGGACTCTGGGTTGAATTTCAATGTAAGAACATCACACCTGAATTTGTGATTTCGGTTTAAACAATGGCAACGTATGGTAAATATAGATATGAATAAGTATGAAAATGGAAAGATTTACAAAATAACTGACATTGGATACAGCAAATCCTACTCAGGGAGCACTTGCAAAAATGTAAGTAAAAGAATACAGCAACTTTAAGACAGGCAAGGCAAACAAGAAGTTTTCACTGATTGAAATTTTTGATGAGTTTGGTATTGAAGATTGTAAGATTGAGTTGATTGAAAACTACCCGTGTAATACTAGAGAAGAACTATGAGAGACGATAAGGACACTACATCAAGAACACAGATTGCGTCAATAAGGTCATTCCACATAGGACAGAAGAAGAGGGAAAGGAGGCGGCGCGTGAGTAGTATTACAAACATAAAGATAAGATATTAGAGGAACCCCTTGAAAAGGTTAAATGTCCTTTTTGTAAGCGTGTAATGTCTCAATCCTACGTTCCAATACATCAACGGTCAAAAACTGGTTCAAACAAACAAACGTATATGATGAATAAAACGTTCTCAATAAAGGTCATTGTTGTTGAGAAGGTTTCGGATTTCAACAGTGGGGATTGTTTGACATTTCTTGCTTTGACCGGTGTTTTGAAAGATTGGATTTACTGCTGATTGTCTGTCCGCAGTCTGGACATTGGAAGGATTTTGATAGTTTCTTTTGACTGGTTGGTGGTTTTAACCCCACTGAAAAATATTAATCAGTTGGGATGATTATTCCCAATATATGGAAAAATAAAAGCAACGTTCCAAACCACCAACCAGTTGATACTATGTTGCAAAATAGTCTGGGTCGAATGGTTTCTTGACATAATTTCCGTCAGGTTTCCATCTTGTGCGTGTGTGTTGTGGGGATTGGGGCTTCATAGGTATTGGTGAGGTTGTGGAGTGCTGAAAAACCATCTGGTCAAAGATGTTTCCGTTCATTTCTTGCTTCATTTCATCCACATATATATATATAGCAGGGCATATTCAACTCTTGATTATACAAGGCGACTTGTCTTTAAGTGTTTTTGGGTGTGACCTCGAAAAGCAGGGGATTCGTTATAAAACACCTTCGCAGTAAATGTGTGTTCACCGTTCCTGCCACAAAAGGGGTAAGGCGTTAGAGGTGTTTGCCTCTTGAAAAAAAATAACCGATGGGAGTCCTCAGTCAGCCTTTGATACAGCGGTTCGCTCTCCCCATTTGCTTGTGTAAAAGAAAACACAGCCTGCCTGCATAATATGAAGGCCATTGAACCGCCCAAACACCAATGCTCCCAGTCTCACACGAAACATGGCAACCTGAACAAATTGTTGGTTACAGGTGTATGGGGTTGTGGAGCTACATCTATATAGGTTTTTTTTGAACCCGAATTTCAAAGGGTGGTTATGGAAATTGTCTGGAACTACACCCAGCGAATGGGCAATTATTCCATTGGATGGGACTGACCCCACAAACGACACAGATGTTGACCAGCTGGTATTCAATGACGCCAAAAGCTTCCGGACTGATGATCAATATCTAGCGCAAATCCCAACGTTTTTTTGTCTTGATTCTGGGTTTCTGGGTATGGTTGATGCTTGGATGCTGGTACCGCGTCATGACTGATACTCGGTTCTCTTTCTCATTGATACTTCAAGAATAGTGTCCTTGATATGTGGTTCTACTTGTCATTGATACCAGTACCTGAATATATCGGGGTATCATTGATACTGGAATACTGGCATCAGGGACCATCAGTGTATCCAATCGCGCTAGCTGGTGCGATATGCTTCGATAAATACCACAGCACGTGCTGACAGTCCACGTGGTCCACGGTAGTAACGAGTTTTGTGGGTTAATCGCCCTGAACATAAAACCCTGAAGCAAAATAAACCAGCCTCGTCCAAACAAAAAATATCACAGTGAAACTTTTTGACAACCTAGTCCCAAAATATCCAGATATTATTTATTTATACATATATATATATATTCGATGTTATATTATACGTTAATATACGTAGTATACTCATACTTCGGAAAAGGTCGCCTGACTTCACCATGTTCACATTTTTGTACGACCTGTAGTGGGACCCCAGTGGGACCCAGACCATTTGTCCGCATAGTCCACGTTCAAGAACTTTCCTGTCCAGAAAAGTGTGGTAAAATGTGTGGTGCCCTGTAAAAACGCTTAAAAAAAGGCTGACCCTCTGCAGAAGCCTTGGACGGAAGCCATGTCATCATGGCACATCATGGCCCATCATGGCCCATCATGGCCCATCATGGCCCATCATGGCCCATCATGGCATGCTGATGTCCTTGTTTTCCCTTGTCGTTGTTGAACCTGAGCACGAGCTGCAACTGCTTGGAATGCCACGACATGATTTTCCTACGCGATCTTCTTACGACATGCCCTGGGCACCAGACCCATCCCAGCCATTCTCAGGTTCGTCCATCCAGTAGCAAACACCAGCCTATCCGCGCCAAAATGGTTGGCTGATCCTTCCTATGATCCAACCCAACCACCCCAATTTCTGCCATGAAAAAAAAATAAAAAAAAAACTAGAAGGGGCCTGGTGGAATGAAGGATATGAAGGTGTAATTGTTTTTCTACGGCGTCGGAGAAACGCATTATGAAAGGTCGAAAAGGGCATGATCATCCCGCTACGCATGACATAGGTATGCTTGGAAGTAAAGAACGACTGGAGATGCCACAAGCTAAGAACTCAGCAAGAGATGATCTTATGACATAAATATACATAAATGATGACTTATGATTCATTTGTTCCCTGATTCGAAAATTATCCATCCAGGAACCTGTTCGGCAGGTGGCAGTTCACCCCGGCCAAAACACTACATTCCCGCACATTGCTTGTTTTGCATGCCCATATACGGTAAAAGCATGTAAATACAGACAAGGTAATGAATTTATATACAGAGATATAATGAATGGACTGATTAGCTATGCATACAAGATCACAGTTATAATATATATATATATATATATATAGTGTATGCATATGTATGCATTGATAGCAGTCTAATTTTGGTTGGCTCAGGCTGTCTTTTTTTAAGGAACTTTATTTGAACCTCTGGGGCTGTGGCCACCTAGGCAAAAATCAGAGGGTCCAGCTTGAGTCTTTTTTCAAGAACCATGAAACAGCTTCACCATGAAATGCTGGCGATTCTTCTGTTGCCATGCAACCTTGTCTATACCTCAAATGCTGAATGGTGACATACAAACACATACGAAATCCTCTAGGAACGTGCCATGTTTCTATACGTTTCTCGATTTGGATCCGTCGTCAGCTTCTGGAAATGGCTGGTGGCGTGGTCAGCACGGTAGCATCTGTAAAAATGCACCTCCTGGTTTCCAACTTTCAGGATGCCAAAGAAGCGAGAGAAGAACCCCCTGCACATTTGGCAAAACTGTTTGGTGCTGCCGTTTGGTGCTGCCATGATCATCCGTCACTTACACTTGAAATGTTCTCTGAAGTCAGTAATCCCTGCTGATTGACTTTCAATACTACCGTACTACCAAATAGGATAGGCCGATATCCTCACAGCAATTCTGACCGAATTCTTGCTCTGCCCGTCTGGGTACCCCTGACATGGTCCCGGTTTCAATGACCAGGCGTTGCCCCATGCCATTTTGGATGTACTTCTGTCCAGTGCCGAAACTGGGCTGCGCATCGGAGGAAGCTGGGCATCCGTGAGAGCAGCTATGAATTTGAAAGAATAGTGGTTAGTGATTGGTTCATAACTATGGTTAATCACTATTAGTGGGAAAAATTGAGAAAGTCAGTCAGTCTATTCGCAGGCCAACGCGAGCCCATCAACAAATCTTGAGCAGCCATGAGTCCAGGTTTATAAACATCTGTGACAAGCTAGGATCGGCTAGGATTGGCACTTGTCCAATTCCAACCTCATCTCTTCTGTCTTCAGGGCTTTCTCATCCTGACATCAGCGCTGGTACTGGATACTGACTGCCGGAGCTGCCGGAGTTCATCGCGCCGCGCCTCTGGCATCCACCAATGCCTGCAAGGTTCACAAGCTTCCCGCACCTGGCACTTGGCGAAACTGGGAAACAACATGTCCATGTTCATTTCATCTCATTTCATCACGTTCTTCATCATACTTCTACCGCTTCTACCTTTTCTCAAATACATGTGCGATGGGCGGCTCGCAAAAACTCTGGTATCTTTCAGTGCACTTTGAGTAGCCTCCCCTACCCCCACTTGCGAGTCCCTGGGACAGACCTTTGGGCAAGGTGTCCAGATGCATGTATACGTCGTTGCATACAATGCACAAACCGAACCCGGTCCGTTACCCTCAAGGGAACTTTGAGCCCAACGAGCACGTTAGCGCATCGTCTCGTTGTCATCTACCAAGCATCCAGTAGGTTGGCCAGAAACCCAAAGTAACCTTCGCACGATGCACGAAGGCCCTCGCACAGTGCGCCCCACACCCGGCCAACGGTGTGTAGAATGGCCTCAATCTGATGCTGGGGCCAAACTTTGGGTAAGGCGAACTAACACGAACTAACACGTGACAAATACAGGCGATGCGGACTTCAGACCGATTTGGGCCCATCTGCTTGCTCCAACGTGCAACTCCAACATGCAATCGCAACACGTCTCAGGGACCGCTGGAAACTCAAGTGATTACTCTCTTCTCTGCTGCTGGATCTTCTACATTGCCATCCAATTTGTTTATGGGGCAAAAGATCTGTGGGAAACCCAGCACAACTTGGATCAACTGCGAACCTTGGAACTCTCTTGAGAACATAATTTACATGTGTCCGTTTCATTACGTTGTTCATCATACTTCTATCTTTTCTACCTCGTGCCTTCAAATACATGTGGCAGAACAGGCCACCAGGGGAGTGCGCAAATTGCGGCATTTCCTGTGCAAAGATCCAACAGCATATGGCGCAACCGGACAAAATTGAATTCCATTCCTCTCTGCTGTTCATTGGCTGAATGCACTATGTCATAGCAAACATTGCTGTACTGTAGTGTATCGACCTTGTTCTAGTGCAACCACTGACAGTGCCTGGCAATCTCTGCTTAGCACATCTGCAATGGCTATCCACACACAAACCAAAAAACCAAAAAAACAAAAAAACAAAAAAAAAACAAAAAACCAAAAAGACAAGACCCAACACTCTGCATCTGACCCCCTCCCCTTGGGGTGTGCAATCTTGGTTTTTCTGGTTTTTTTGGTTTTTTGGTTTTTTGGTTTTTGTTTTTTTGGTTTCTTGGTTTTTTAGTTTTTTGGTTTTTTGGTTTGTGTGTGGATAGCCCAGACCTTGCCCATGGGTCTGAACTTTTTGTTTTTTTTTGTTTTTTTTGTTTTCTCGAGGTTTTGGCCAAACTGCAAAAAACAATGGAAAAACACCCCAAAAAAAAAGTTCAGACCCATGTCCCCTGCCAGGCCTCTCCCCAGACCTTGCCCATGGAACTGAACTTTTTGTTTTTTTTTGGTTTTTTCCATTGTTGTTTTGCATGTTTTTCGTGTGAAGATGCTTTCATCACAGTACCTCTCAAAAAAATGCGCGTCTCTACAATTTGCACACCTGCGCCCCCCAGGCCAAACTGCAAAAAAAACCATGGAAAAACCAAAATTCATTTAATGACTTATATAATGACTAATATTATGATTAAAATAATGATTAATGTAATGACTTATTTATTCATGAATATAATGACTAATATAATGATTAATAACATGATTAAAAAAATGATCAATATCATGATTAATATAATGGTTAATTTAATGATTATTAGAATAAAGAATTTAATGATTATTATAATGAGGAATATAATGATTAATATCATGATTATTATCATGATTCATATAATGATTAATGTAATGGTTAATATAATGCCTAATGCAATGACTAATATAATTATTACAATGGTAAATATAATGATTGATATAATGATAAATATAATGATTCATTTCATGATTCATTTAATGACGTTTATAATGACTAATATAATGATTAATATCATGATTGGTATACTGATTTATGTAATGGCTGGTAAAATTATTATTTTTTTGACTAACATAATGATTAATTTCATGGTTCATAGAATGATAAATATAATGGTTAATATAATGTTTCATTTAATGATAAATATAACGATTCATTTCATGATTCATTTAATGACTTTCATAAGGACTAGTATCATGATTATATTTATATAATGATTAATATAATGATTAATATTATGATGAATACAATGATTAATATCATGAGTAAAATACTGACTAATTAAATGAGTTTATATATAATGAGTAATGTAATGATTTTAAAAAATGATTCATATAATGATTAATATAATGATTAATTTAATGGCTAATATAATGAAAAATAAAATGGCTAATATAATGAATGTTATAATGATTAATAAAATGATTAATATAATGATTAATAAACTGGTTAATACAATGATTAATATCATAATTCATAAAATGACTAATATAATGATCAATATGTAAAATGATCAATATCATGATTAATAACATGATTAATATAATGATTAATTTAATGATTATTATAATGAGGAATATAATGATTAATATCATGATTATTATCATGATTCATATAATGATTAATGTAATGGTTAATATAATGCCTAATGCAATGACTAATAAAATTAATATAATGATTAATATAATGATAAATATAATGATTCATTTCATGATTCATTTAATGACTTTTATAATGACTAAGATAATGATTAATATAATGATTTTTGTAACGGCTGATATAATTATTCATTTATTGACTAATATAATGATTAATATAATGATTAAATTAATGACTAATACAATGATGAATAAATGACTAATTTAATGAATTATATAATGACTGATATAATGATGATTCATTTAATGATTCATTTAATGATTAATATAATGATTCATATAATGATTCATATAATGATTCATATAATGATAAATATAATAATGCATCTAATGACTTATATAATGATTAATGTAATGACTAATATAATGATTAATGTAATGACTGCATGGAAAAAAGTGCACTCCCACAGCGGCCAGCTCTCTTTGTTTATGGGGTAAAAGATCTGTGGGAAAACCAGCACAACTTGGATCAACTGCGAACCTTGGAACTCTCTTGAGAACATAATTTACATGTGTCCGTTTCATTACGTTGTTCATCATACTTCTATCTTTTCTACCTCGTGCCTTCAAATACATGTGGCATGGGCGGCTCGCAAAAACTCTGGTATCTTTCAGTGCACTTTGAGTGGCCTCCCCTACCCCCACTTGCGCGCTACCCTCCTGGGAACTTTGAGCCCAACGAGCACGTTAGCGCATCGTCTCGTTGTCATCTACTAAGCATCCAGTAGGTTGGCCAGAAAACCAAAGTAACCTTCGCACGATGCACGAAGGCCCTCGCACAGTGCGCCCCACACCCGGCCAACGGTGTGTAGAATGGCCTCAATCTGATGCTGGGCCAAACTTTGGGTAAGGCGAACTAACACGAACTAACACGTGACAAATACAGGCGATGCGGACTTCAGACCGATTTGGGCCCATCTGCTTGCTCCAACGTGCAACTCCAACATGCAATCGCAACACGTCTCAGGGACCGCTGGAAACTCAAGTGATTACTCTCTTCTCTGCTGCTGGATCTTCTACATTGCCATCCAATTTGTTTATGGGGTAAAAGATCTGTGGGAAAACCAGCACAACTTGGATCAACTGCGAACCTTGGAACTCTCTTGAGAACATAATTTACATGTGTCCGTTTCATTACGTTGTTCATCATACTTCTATCTTTTCTACCTCGTGCCTTCAAATACATGTGGCATGGGCGGCTCGCAAAAACTCTGGTATCTTTCAGTGCACTTTGAGTGGCCTCCCCTACCCCCACTTGCGCGCTACCCTCCTGGGAACTTTGAGCCCAACGAGCACGTTAGCGCATCGTCTCGTTGTCATCTACCAAGCATCCAGTAGGTTGGCCAGAAACCCAAAGTAACCTTCGCACGATGCACGAAGGCCCTCGCACAGTGCGCCCCACACCCGGCCAACGGTGTGTAGAATGGCCTCAATCTGATGCTGGGCCAAACTTTGGGTAAGGCGAACTAACACGAACTAACACGTGACAAATACAGGCGATGCGGACTTCAGACCGATTTGGGCCCATCTGCTTGCTCCAACGTGCAACTCCAACATGCAATCGCAACACGTCTCAGGGACCGCTGGAAACTCAAGTGATTACTCTCTTCTCTGCTGCTGGATCTTCTACATTGCCATCCAATTTGTTTACGGGCTCAAAGATCTGCGGGAAAACGATCAACTGCTACATGCCTGGATCTTCAATCACCACCCTTTTCTACTCATAGTCTCTTTTGGCTGGATTTACGCTCATGCTGTTTTGTTACGTTCACTTCAATGAAAACCATGCATTCCTGTCCTGACAATTGTGTATTTACTTGTTTCTGGCTATCTAGGCTCATTTCACGAGAAAATACGATCAGGCTTTTTGCTTCAAAGTGCACAAAGTGGAAATGCCAAGACTGGCCGCTCATTTCGAGAAAAAAAATAAGGTATCAATCACCATTGATTTATGCTAATTATTTATTAATTGGAGGCTACAGGTATGTCCAAACCAAACTTTTCGCTATCATTCATCATGTGTTTATTTCTTTGTCACTAGATTTGTCTTTATATTTCTGCCTATTTCACCTCATGCCTCCAAATACATGTGCCCTGTGCCACTTGCAAAGTGGACTTTGAGTGGCCTCCCCTACCCCCACTTGCGCGCTACCCTCCTGGGAACTTTGAGCCCAACGAGCACGTTAGCGCATCGTCTCGTTGTCATCTACTAAGCATCCAGTAGGTTGGCCAGAAACCCAAAGTAACCTTCGCACGATGCACGAAGGCCCTCGCACAGTGCGCCCCACACCCGGCCAACGGTGTGTAGAATGGCCTCAATCTGATGCTGGGCCAAACTTTGGGTAAGGCGAACTAACACGAACTAACACGTGACAAATACAGGCGATGCGGACTTCAGACCGATTTGGGCCCATCTGCTTGCTCCAACGTGCAACTCCAACATGCAATCGCAACACGTCTCAGGGACCGCTGGAAACTCAAGTGATTACTCTCTTCTCTGCTGCTGGATCTTCTACATTGCCATCCAATTTGTTTATGGGGTAAAAGATCTGTGGGAAAACCAGCACAACTTGGATCAACTGCGAACCTTGGAACTCTCTTGAGAACATAATTTACATGTGTCCGTTTCATTACGTTGTTCATCATACTTCTATCTTTTCTACCTCGTGCCTTCAAATACATGTGGCATGGGTGGCTCGCAAAAACTCTGGTATCTTTCAGTGCACTTTGAGTGGCCTCCCCTACCCCCACTTGCGCGCTACCCTCCTGGGAACTTTGAGCCCAACGAGCACGTTAGCGCATCGTCTCGTTGTCATCTACTAAGCATCCAGTAGGTTGGCCAGAAACCCAAAGTAACCTTCGCACGATGCACGAAGGCCCTCGCACAGTGCGCCCCACACCCGGCCAACGGTGTGTAGAATGGCCTCAATCTGATGCTGGGCCAAACTTTGGGTAAGGCGAACTAACACGAACTAACACGTGACAAATACAGGCGATGCGGACTTCAGACCGATTTGGGCCCATCTGCTTGCTCCAACGTGCAACTCCAACATGCAATCGCAACACGTCTCAGGGACCGCTGGAAACTCAAGTGATTACTCTCTTCTCTGCTGCTGGATCTTCTACATTGCCATCCAATTTGTTTATGGGGTAAAAGATCTGTGGGAAAACCAGCACAACTTGGATCAACTGCGAACCTTGGAACTCTCTTGAGAACATAATTTACATGTGTCCGTTTCATTACGTTGTTCATCATACTTCTATCTTTTCTACCTCGTGCCTTCAAATACATGTGGCATGGGCGGCTCGCAAAAACTCTGGTATCTTTCAGTGCACTTTGAGTGGCCTCCCCTACCCCCACTTGCGCGCTACCCTCCTGGGAACTTTGAGCCCAACGAGCACGTTAGCGCATCGTCTCGTTGTCATCTACCAAGCATCCAGTAGGTTGGCCAGAAACCCAAAGTAACCTTCGCACGGTGCACGAAGGCCCTCGCACAGTGCGCCCCACACCCGGCCAACGGTGTGTAGAATGGCCTCAATCTGATGCTGGGCCAAACTTTGGGTAAGGCGAACTAACACGAACTAACACGTGACAAATACAGGCGATGCGGACTTCAGACCGATTTGGGCCCATCTGCTTGCTCCAACGTGCAACTCCAACATGCAATCGCAACACGTCTCAGGGACCGCTGGAAACTCAAGTGATTACTCTCTTCTCTGCTACTGGATCTTCTACATTGCCATCCAATTTGTTTACGGGCTCAAAGATCTGCGGGAAAACGATCAACTGCTACATGCCTGGATCTTCGATCACCACCCTTTTCTACTCATAGTCTCTTTTGGCTGGATTTACGCTCATGCTGTTTTGTTGCGTTCACTTCAATGAAAACCATGCATTCCTGTCCTGACAATTGTGTATTTTCTTGTTTCTGGGTATCTAGGCTCATTTCACGAGAAAATACGATCAGGCTTGTTGCTTCAAAGTGCACAAAGTAAATGCCAAGACTGGCCGCTCATTTCGAGAAAACAAAAATCAGGTATCAATCACCATTGATTTATGCTAATTATTTATTAATTGGAGGCTACAGGTATGTCCAAACCAAACTTTTCGCTATCATTCATCATGTGTTTATTTCTTTGTCACTAGATTTGTCTTTATATTTCTGCCTATTTCACCTCATGCCTCCAAATACATGTGCCCTGTGCCACTTGCAAAGTGCACTTTGAGTGGCCTCCCCTACCCCCACTTGCGCGTTACCCTCCTGGGAACTTTGAGCCCAACGAGCACGTTAGCGCATTGTCTCGTTGTCATCTACTAAGCATCCAGTAGGTTGGCCAGAAAGCCAAAGTATCCTTCGCACAATGCACGAAGGCCCTCGCACAGTGCGCCCCACACCCGGCCAACGGTGTGTAGAATGGCCTCAATCTGATGCTAGGGCCAAACTTTGGGTAAGGCGAACTAACACGAATTAACACGTGACAAACACAGGCGATGCGGACTTCAGACCGATTTGGGCCCATCTGCTTGCTCCAACGTGCAACTCCAACATGCAATCGCAACACGTCTCAGGGACCGCTGGAAACTCAAGTAATACTCTCTTCTCTGCTGCTGGATCTTCTACATTGCCATCCCATTTGTTTACGGGGTAAAAGATCGGTGGGAAAGCCAGCAGAACTTGGATCAACTGCGAACCTTCAACTCTTGAGAACATATTTACATATGTCCGTTTCATTACGTTGTTCATCATACTTCTATCTTTTCTACCTCGTGCCTTCAAATACATGTGCCATGGGCGGCTCGCAAAAACTCTGGTATCTTTCAGTGCACTTTGAGTGGCCTCCCCTACCCCCACTTGCGAGTCCCTGGGACGGACCTTTGGGCCAGGTGTCCAGATGCATGTATACGTCGTTGCATACAATGCACAAACCGAACCCGGTCCGTTACCCTCAAGGGAACTTTGAGCCCAACGAGCACGTTAGCGCATCGTCTCGTTGTCATCTACTAAGCATCCAGTAGGTTGGCCAGAAACCCAAAGTATCCTTCGCACAATGCACGAAGGCCCTCGCACAGTGCGCCCCACACCCGGCCAACGGTGTGTAGAATGGCCTCAATCTGATGCTAGGGCCAAACTTTGGGTAAGGCGAACTAACACGAATTAACACGTGACAAACACAGGCGATGCGGACTTCAGACCGATTTGGGCCCATCTGCTTGCTCCAACGTGCAACTCCAACATGCAATCGCAACACGTCTCAGGGACCGCTGGAAACTCAAGTAATACTCTCTTCTCTGCTGCTGGATCTTCTACATTGCCATCCCATTTGTTTACGGGGTAAAAGATCTGTGGGAAAACCAGCACAACTTGGATCAACTGCGAACCTTCGAACTCTTGAGAACATATTTACATATGTCCGTTTCATTACGTTGTTCATCATACTTCTATCTTTTCTACCTCGTGCCTTCAAATACATGTGCCATGGGCGGCTCGCAAAAACTCTGGTATCTTTCAGTGCACTTTGAGTGGCCTCCCCTACCCCACTTGCGAGTCCCTGGGACGGACCTTGGATTTCGATTGGTTCCTGGAAGTTCCTCTTGTGGGGCTGCGTGGCCACAATTGCGGGGGCCCATATCCCCACTAATAAAGGTCTTCGCCCAGGCTTTCAATTTTTCACGGTCAACAAGGCACCTCCATTGTCTCTCCCTTCTCATTGTTCTTCTCGACAATGAGAAATGGCTCCTCACAAGTCTCGAGGATCCCATCATATCAAGTGTGCGTTTCGGTTCCCTTTTCCTTGGCTAGACGCAGTTGTAGAAAAGATGTTTCAGAGAGAGAGAGAGAGTGACCCCCATACCCATGGAGGAAACGAACTCGTCATCATTGGAAAACGCCTATGAATTTGGGTGTAGAATAGTTTGTGGTATTTTTTGCCTCAAGTTTTGGATTTTGTTTCGCTTTCTTTCCTGGTACCATTTGCCTTGTATTTGCAACAGTTTGGAACTAGAACCTGTCATTGTGCATGGTATTTGCTACATTTTGGCATGGTCGTCACTTTGCATTTTGCATGATATTTGCTACATTTGGCCATGTTCGCTTTCCATTTTGCATGGTATTTGTCACATTTTGGCATTTCAACCTCGCATTTGCGTGGTATTTGCTACATTTTGGTACTTCAAACGTTCATGTGGGTCTCTTGAGGGTTCTTTAGGCTTTCATTTAGGGTGTCATTTAAGGTTTCATTTAGAGTTTCATTTAGGGTTTTATTTAGGGGTTCATTTGGTGTTTTATTTAGCTTCATTTGGGGTTTTATTTAGGGTTTCATTTAGGATTTCATTTAGGGCCCCCTTACGGTTTCATTTAGGGTTTCATTTAGGGTTTCTTTAGGGTTTCTTTAGGGTTTTGTTTAGGGTTTCATTTAGGAATTCATTTAGGGTTTCATTTAGGGTTTCTTCTTTAGGCTTTCAGTTTGGGTTTCATTTAGGGTCTCATTTAAGGTTTCTTTAGGGTTTCATTTAGAGTTTCTTTAGGGTTTCTCTAGGGTTTCATTTAGGGTTTCGTTTAGGGTTTCATTTAGGGTTTCTTTAGGGTTTCATTTAAGCTTTCTTTAGGGTTTCAATTTAGGGTTTCAATTCAAGGTTTCATTCAGGAGTTCATTTAAGTTTTCTTTAGGGTTTCATTCCAGGGTTTCTTATTAGGATTTCTTTTCACGATTTCTAAACGTTCAAGTGGGTTCCTTTCGGGCTCCTCAGGGTTTCATTTAGGGTGTCATTTAGGGTTTCTTTAGGGTTTCATTTAGGGTCTCTTTAGGGTTTCAATTAGGGTTTCAATTTAGGGTTTCATTTAGGGTTTGTTTAGGGTGTCAATTTAGGGTTTCAGCTAAGGTGTCAGTTAAGGTTTCATTTACAGTAGTTTTTCCCCAACAGCAGAATGCTTTGGGGTCTCAGCCCACATAGCCTTCGGGGTGCTCCGGGGCACTGCTCGACCCTGCCGCCTCGTTTCGCCGGTTCCGGGAACCAGGGTTCCGAGAACCGGTTCCGGGAACCAGGGTTCGGGGCAAGGTTCCGGGAACCCAGGGTTCCGGGAACCAGGGTTCGGGGCAAGGTTCCAGGAACCCAAGGTTCCGTAAACAAGACTTTCAAGCAAGGTTCTGGGAACAATGGGTTCTGGCTACCTTTTGGGTTCCGGGACGTCAAGGTTCCGGGAAGGTTCCGGACACACTTGGCTTTCGACAAGGTTCCGGGAACCTTACCATGGTTTCGAGCAGCCAGAGCCTGGATTGTGCCAAAGTTCTGGAATCACCGGAACACCAATTTTGAGACATCCTGCAAACCCAGAGTTTGGGGAAGCAAGGTTCCAGCAACACTGGGTTCCGACAAGGTTCCGAGAACCACCACAGATGCGGACCCACTGTTTGGATATACTTCCTGGATTATGCCACAGGTTCCGGACAAGGACAAGGTCAGAGTTCTGGCAAGGTTCCGAGGTTCCGGAAACAACCCAGGGGTCGGATATACGCCGTGGGTTGTACCAAGGTTCATGCTACGGACAGGGTCCCAGAAAACCAATTTGCAAGGAAACCAAGGTTCCAGGACCAAAAGGGCCCGGTCAACGAGCAATCGCTGACAGGGGGGGGGACAGCGTGACAATAAATCAGCGCGTCTCGGTTCCGGAAACCCAGGTTTCCAATATACGCTGTGGGTTGCGCCAAGGTTCCGGAAACGAGGGTTCCAGGAAGACAAGGTTCCAGGGACACAAGGTTCCAGGAACACAAGGGATTCCGGAAATCCCCCAGCCAATCTTGGGTGCTTTGTGGCCCCTCACTGAATTCCGAATTCATGTTCGTTTGCTCAGTGGGCGCCCAGCGTCGGTCGACTGACCTGTTCTGATGTTGCTGTAAAATCTTCTGTTTGAACTGTTCCGATGTCGCATCTACCAAAGCACATGCCACATCAAGCAATTAAGTTCGATGCCTTGGAACACCTAAATATTGGCAGCAAACCTGTGTGAGGCTTCTCGAAGCCAGGTAGATGATTTTTTGAAGCTAAGTGACCAAACAGCAACACACAATGAAACTTCAGACACAGTTGTGACACAACAACCAAGTATTGACATGAAACTAATTCTGGAATCATGATGGACAATGTGGCCAAAACCAACTGTTTCACCAATCACTTGCGCAAACTGACCGATGTTGTCCAAGCACGACAAGATAATCCCAAACCAACACACACACACAATTTTGTAAACACTTAATGACACACCGTGGTCTGCAAATACTGCCATTCGTTTGTAACCAAATGTATGTAAATTCAACTATGCGCGCTTTCTTAAAGAACATGTCTCATCCTGCCTTTGGTCCAAAAGGGGAGGGGGCAAGGCGGGCAAAAAATCGCCGAAGAGACTTAGGCTATGGAATCCTGTTCCTGCCATCATTAATCCGTCTTGGGTTGCAAAGTTGGACCACTGTTTGAAACCAACCGCTGCCGGTTCCGGGAACCAGGGTTCCGGGCAAGGTTCCGGAACTCATGATTCCGGGAACCAGGGTTCGGGGCAAGGTTCCAGGTTCCGCAAACCAGACTTTCAAGCAAGGTTCTGGGAACAATGGGTTCTGGCTACCTTTTGGGTTCCGGGACGTCAAGGTTCCGGGATCCCCAGGTTCTCGGCGCCAGGAAGGTTCCGGGCACACTTGGCTTTCGACAAGGTTCCGGGAACCTTACCATGGTTTCGAGGCGGTTCTGGAATCACCGGAACACCAATTTTGAAACATCCTGGAAACCCAGAGTTTGGGGAACGAGGGTTCCGGCAAGGTTCCAGCAACACTGGGTTCCGACAAGGTTCCGAGAACCACCGCGGATGCGGACCCACAGTTTGGATATACTTCCTGGATTATGCCACAGGTTCCGGACAGGGACAAGGTTGCGGAACAACAATTTTCAAGAAGCCCAGCCCAGGTTCCAGAGAACCAGGGTTCTGGCAAGGTTCCGAGGTTCCGGAAACAACCCAGGGGTCGGATATACGCCGTGGGTTGTACCAAGGTTCATGCTACGGACAGGGTCCCAGAAAACCAATTTTCAAGGAAACCAAGGTTCCAGGACCATATAGGCCCTGTCAACGAGCAATCGCTGACAGGGGGGGGCACAGCGTGACAATAAATCAGCGCGTCTCGGTTCCGCAAACCCAGGGTTCCAATATACGCTGTGGGTTGTGCCAAGGTTCCGGAAACGAGGGTTCCAGGAAGACAAGGTTCCAGGAACACAAGGGATTCCGGAAATCCCCCAGCCAATCTTGGGTGCTTTGTGGCGGGTTCCGCACATGCCGATTCATGTTCGTTTGCTCAGTGGGCGCACAGCGTCGGTCGACTGACCTGTTCTGATGTTGCTGTAAAATCTTCTGTTTGAACTGTTCCGATGTCGCATCTACCAAAGCACATGCCCCATCAAGCAATTAAGTTCGATGCCTTGGAACACCTAAATATTGGCAGCAAACCTGTGTGAGGCTTCTCGAAGCCAGGTAGATGATTTTTTTAAAGCTAAGTAACCAAACAGCAACACACAATGAAACTTCAGACACAGTTGTGACACAACAACCAAGTATTGACATGAAACTAATTCTGGAATCATGATGGACAATTTGGCCAAAACCAACTGTTTCACCAATCACTTGCGCAAACTGACCGACGTTGTCCAAGCACGACAAGATAATCCCAAACCAACACACACACACAATTTTGTAAACACTTAATGACACACCGTGGTCTGCAAATACTGCCATTCGTTTGTAACCAAATGTATGTAAATTCAATTATGCGCGCTTTCTTAAAGAACATGTCTCATCTTGCCTTTGGTCCAAAAGGGGACGGGGCAGGGCGGGCAAAAAATCGCCGAAGAGACTTAGGCTATGGAATCCTGTTCCTGCCATCATTAATCCGTCTTGGGTTGCAAAGTTGGACCACTGTTTGAAACCAACCGCTGTTGGGGATCTACGTCGGCTTATTTTCAGAGTGTTGTTTAGGGTTTCTTTGGGGTGTCATTTAGGGTGTCATTTAAAGTTTCTGCAGGGTTTCATTATTTCATTTATGGTTTCTTTAGGAATAATTTATGGTTTCTTTAGGGTTCATTTATGGTTTCTTTAGGGTTCATTTAGGGTTTCACGTAGGGTTTCTTATCAGGATTTCTTTAGGGTTTCTTTGGGTTTCACCTAGGTCTCTCTAGGGTTTCATTTAGGATACAAACAGAACAGAATAAAGCAAAAGAAAATGAAAAACAAAGAGACAGTAAAGACAGGAAGCAAAGAAGCAAAGGAGCAGGAAGTAGAGCAACAAAAACACATGACTGAAGAAAAGAAAAAGTAGAATAGTAAAAGTAGAAAGGCACAGAAGTGCAAAAGCAGAGAAGCAGGGAAAGCAGAGAAGCAGAAAAGCAAAGAAGCAGGAAAAGCAAAGAAGCAGGGAAAACAAAAAGCAGAAAAGCAGAGAAGCAATGTAAGCAGAGAAGCAGGAAAAGCAGAGAAGCAATGTAAGCAGAGAAGCAGAAAAGCAGAGAAGCAGAAAAGCAGAAAATCAGAGAAACAGGAAAGCATAGAACCAGGAACCCCAAAAAAAAACAGAAACCTGCCGCGAAAAAATAATAACAAAAATAAATGCGGTTGTTTGTCAACTGGTGCAGTCTTTTAACCTTTTTTACTTGGAGCCTTCTTCGGGGCCAGCGTGGAGTTTACATCTTCTGACAAACGATTAACTTGCCCATCAGATCAAGAATCGCAGTGGACGGCAATGTTGGTTCTTCAAGCTACATGCCTGATAGGTATGGTACTGCAATTACACGTAACACATCGTACCACTACTAGAGAGCCAATCCACCCAGCGAAACACCTTGGGCAGGAGGTACCCCTTGTATGGTGCTACCTGTCCAGTGCGGTGCTCGGTGTTCGTCCCTCGCAAGAGATCACAACAACAAATCAAAAAAAAACGTGAAATTGGTCATGAACCCTCATCATTTACAAGGCCTTGCCTATCTCAAAATATATCAACTCCCATTGGATTTGTCCAGGCTCACCATCAGGTAAACCGCCTTCATGATGTTGTACTTTGTGAGGCGCTTCTCTCGTCGGATGTGACCCTGGATCAATGGATTGATTTGCTGCATAGATATAGCTATCTAGACAATGTTATACAGGTGCATTTGTATGCAATATCATGCAACATCATGCAACCGTATCCAGATATCGTAGGGGTGGTGGTTGAGTCTAGGCGTCAGAGGATGGACAGGGCCCTTTTTATGCCTTTCCCTCATCAGAGTTCAAGGTCTATAGAGTTCCCTCGCCCCAAAAAATTTCAGTTACCAACAAGACTGAAGAAGAAAAATTGTAGATACTCGAATTGAAACGGTCCTCCCAGACCCTAAGGTCCTTGGGAACGGTCTGAGTGACCATGTGCAACCTTTACATGCCATGAAATACCTATAAAATCTAAATCCAAATCTGGATGTGAAAGCATGGGATGTTGTCACTTCCGCATTCCGCGGATTTGTAGATCCTAAGGATCCTCAAGTCTGGGCCTCAACATAGGAGCGGATGGCAAAAGATTCCTCCGCATCGGGGACTTCTGAATCCTGCATGCATTCGTCAAACACGAGCCGAGTTGAGATCAAATGTTTCAGGGTGTCCATGGGCCCTGTCGATGATGATGATGATGATGATGATGATGATGATGTATGATGATGATGATGATGATGATGATGATGATGGTGATGATGATGGTGATGATGATGATGAGGGTGATGATGATGATGGTGGTGATGATGATGATGGATGATGATGATGATGATGATGATGGTGGTGATGATGATGGTGATGATGATGATGGTGATGATGATGATGATGATGATGATGGTGATGATGATGATGATGGTGATGATGATGATGATGAGGGTGATGATGATGATGGTGGTGATGATGATGATGATGATGGAGGATGATGATGATGATGGAGGATGATGATGATGATGGTGATGATGATGATGATGGTGATGATGATGATGATGATGATGATGATGATGATGGATGATGATGATGATGATGATGATGATGATGATGATGATGGATGATGATGAATGATGATGATGATGATGATGATGATGATGATGATGATGATGATGATGATGATGATGATGATGATGATGATGATGATGATGGTTCTGGTTCTGGTTCTGGTTCTGGTTCTGGTGCGTTGGTGCGCTGATGCGCTGGTGCGCTGGTGCGCTGGTGTGCTGGTGCCGGTGGCGGCGATGGCTGTGATCAAAGTTTTTGCCAAGGGATCTTTGAACACTCTGATCACTAAAAAATGAACATCTCACAGACTTGGAAACCTGTTTTAAAACGTGAACACTGAGCAAATCGTCATTGGAGTGTCATATCGATGTTGGTCGACGGCAAGCCACAGTGGACATGAGGATTGTGGAGGGGTGTCACCAGCTGAACACGGAACCAGTGACGTCAACGAACCGAAAGCAGCAAGTCATTCCTGTCACTAAATGGAACTCAACCTAAAATCACATCTTGTCCGCTCGATTCATCTCAGCCTGAACCACCTTCAAGCGGATAGCCAGGAGTTTTGCTACTTCTTGGATTCTGTCACAAACAGCCTCGAGATTTGTAGATCACTCACTGAAATACCACTTCCATGTGCTCCTCGCGCTTCTTCACAGATTCCCACCTTAGGATTTGGTGGCTCCATCCCTTGCAATATCTTGGTGCGGAGACTGCAAATGGGGCGTACCTCCATCCTATTGCTATTGCAACGGAGAATAGCAAAGTTTTTGGTGAAGGAATGGAATAATGGAATGAAATTGGAAATGGAAATGGACATGAACCTGGACATGGGAATGGAATGGAATGGGAATGGGACTGGGACTGGGAATGGAATGGAAAGGGAATGGAATGTGAATGGGAATGGAATGGAATGGAATGGAGTGGATGAAGTGGATGAAGTGGAAGGGTGGATTCCCCCAAAAAACAAGTACCTAACCGATCAAGTTGAATCTAGTTGCGGCACTGCCAGTGGACTGGCAGTGGACCACGAAGTTTCTGGCGTCCCCGCTCTGTGAGATACTTGTAGATGCTGAGTTTCTCGAATTTGAAGGCCTCTTCCTCCTCTCAGTGAAGTGAAAATGTTTTTTTACAAATGAACAAGTACTTCATCAAAATCAAAAAATATGAAAAGGTAGTTCCCAACCTACTGTTGAACCAAGTTGGTGGGCAATCACTCAAATACCAGCACAGGCTCTTGGATTTCTATGTTGGTTTTGATATGTTCACAAACAATTTTGTCGACTGTGGAATTCTGCGAGATGTTAGCAACATTAGAACTGGCAGGCTAAGCGAATTCTTCATAGAAAGGCCACCAAACATTTAAGCAAACACAAGTTGTTCACCTCTGAAAGCATGATTCCAGAATCTGCCAAAGATCGACGCTTGATACCTGCATTCGTCTGACAATGGGGTACCAGCTAGTCACCATGTTCCGAATGCTACAAATTGGGGGTCTATCCAAGATTTCAGAACGCCTGCGCCCATATATTACCAGGTAGCGCCCGGCCCGCGCCGGGGCGGAAGTTTCGAAAATAGGACATGATTATAGGAATTAAATTGCCTATAGGAAAGTTTCTGCGATGTAGAAACAATAAAGTGTTGAAGTTGTGAGGTGCATCAACCAATCAGCAAATGGTTGATGAGATGCCAATGAAACGACATGAAAGAATCAATGAACCAGTGACTTGATGAACCAATGAACCAGTGAGGCAATGAAACAATGAAGCAACAAAGCCGCGACTCAATGAATCAAGCAACCTGTGAACCAATGAACCGCTGAATCAATGCATCACTGAATCAAGGAACCAATGAATCAATGATGCAACGACTGAGTCAATAAATCAATGAATCTAGGAATCTAGGAATCAATGAATCAGCGAATCAATGAATCAACGGTTCAACGATTCAGTGGGTCAATGCACCAATAAAGAAACCAACCATTGAATCAATGAAAGCTGCAACCAACGAATCATTGAATGAAGACATTGAGCCAACTTCATCTTCCAAAAGTGCTCCGATCCCCTCAGTTTCTTGCGATTTTTATGTGAAACCGAGCTCTCGCTACAGTCTCGTGCGCATTTTGCCGACCTCATCTTCCAAAACTGCTCCGCTTGCCACAGTCCAGTACACATTTTGCCGACCTCATCTTCCAAAAGTACCCTACGCCCGTCAGTTTTAAACATTGTAAAGTGGCAATTGAGCTCTCGCTACAGTCCTGTGTACGTTTTGCCGACCTCATCTTCCAAAAGTGCTCTGAGCCCCTCAGTTTTTTTTAACATTTTGAAATGGAAATCGAGCTCTCGCTACAGTCCTGCGACGCGTCGCTTTTTGTCGACAACTTTCCCAGATCGACGCCCACAACCCGAAACAGCGACCCTACTTTATCCTACTTTGGCGACCATGGAAGCCACTTTACCCGAACGTGCCCGGTAGGGTTTTCACCCGTGAGTTCGCGTGTTCCCGAGCTGTCACTCTTATCCCAACTCCTTGATGATGGCTGGTTGACATGATGAGACATTAACATGATGACAAAACAGCCCCTGGACATTCGTCCGTAACTCGGAAGTTGTCAAACTAAAACTTCCGTTGGTTATAGATCGAAATCGTAACATGTTGGTGGGTGGTATGGAGTATCCTGACGATCTGCATCTGATATTTTACCAGGTAGGACCCGGCCCGCGCCAGGGCGGAAGTTTCGAAAAAAATAAAACCACTATAGGAAGAAGATGGCCTATAGGAAAGCTTTTGACATGCAGAAGCAACGAAGTGTTGAAGTTGTGAGGTCCATCAACAAATGAGCAAATAATCGTTGAGATGCCAATGAAATGCCATGAAAGCATCCATGCACAACTGCTTGAATGAATCAATGAACAAATGCCAATGAACCGATGAGTTCATGAGCCAATGAATCGATGAATCAGTGAACCGATGAAGACGATGAATCAATCAATCAATCAATCAATCAATCAATCAATGAACCAAAGAATCAGTAAATCAACCAATCAAGGAATCAATGAAGCCATGAGTCCATGAATTCATGAACCAACGAACCAACGAATCGATGAACCAGTGACTCATTGAATCAACGAACCAACGAATCAATTACACAATGAAACAATGAATCGGTGAATCAATAAATCATTGAACCAATGAATCAATGAATCGGCGATTTTTGGCCGACAACTTTCCCAGATCAACGCGCGGATCCGCAGAAACACAGACCGAAGCCACAACACCAAAAAAATACAGGGTTTCGCGCCCAAGAGTGTTTTCACCCGTGAAATCACACGCTTCCGAACTGTTACGCTTCCCAGCTACTTGATGATGGGTGGTTGACATGATGATGTGGTTGACATGATGGTGTGGATGCTAACCATGACCATCGAACGTATCTTGGAAGTTTTCTAGCTAAGCTCCTTTGATGATATTTCTCATCTTTACCTCTGTCTGGAAACCCAAAACAGAAAAGAATATGTTTGTTTCCCAATGATAGGGCTTGGAAACCCTACATCACAAATGGTTGAAACTGTGCAAAGGGTAAACCACCATGGCCATTTCTGGACTGGGGGTTCCAGGTGGGTGGGTTAGTCTAGCCAGCTCGCTCCACCATTTCGTTCGCAAAATCAAGGTGTTTTCAGCTCCGCTTTCCTCCTCACTTGCCCCATTACTTCCAGCAGAAGGGAACCTAAGATGTGCCAGTCTGGATGTGTCTGAAAATGGCGATGTCATGATGACAATATTGTATGAATATGTGATACGAGTAATATCGGATATTTAGTCCCTATGAGTGGCTATTTCTTGATAGGGGATAGTGATGGCTTAGTGATGATTAGCCGGGAAGTGGCGCAAGACATCTCAAGATCTTGTGGGGAGGATTAGATGATTAGATGAAAAACATGTCACCCCAGAAACCCCAATAGCTAGGGTCATCTTCAGATCCGTTCACTCATTGGCATTAGATTCACTCGATGCCGGTTTGAGTCTCATGACCCCTTGTATGAGAAGTTCCTTCGGCGGTCAGATCACAAGTAATGGAGAAAGCAGACTTCAAAGAACTTCAAACGGAATGCCTGCCCATTCTGCATACGATACTTAGAGTCTAAGTATTTTGAAAAAGGACAGAGACCTCTGTCCTTCAAGTGCTACAGTGCTACAACATCAAAACACCGAGGTTTTAACAGCTCACTGTCAACCCATCTTGAGAAATCCAGGCATCCAAGGTGCCATGTTGGGTCGCCAGAGGGTCCATCGGGCACAATGGTCCCCTGAGCATGTACAAAGAAAGACGGCTTTCTCTGATTGAGATTGAGTTAGGGGGAAACCATTGGGGGAAAAGCATGGGAAAACCCCAGGAAAACCCAGCTTCTCAATGTTTGTGATCATTTTGAAAAGATTACTTATCAACATTGCTATTTTCTTGCAGGCAGGTCCAATTCAAAAAGACATAGCCACAGGGACTGCTTCGCAACGCTACAGGTGATTCATCAAAGCGGGGTTGTCACAGTGGCCAGTGGCTACTGCTAGTGGTGATGAACTTACTTGTTAGGGAATGAGGGAATGATCCACAATAACTATCAATAATGATAATCCCATTCCCCCATTCCCCACCCCCAATTCCCCCATTCCCCACATCTTCCCCCAGTCCCCCATTCCCCCATTCCCCCATTCCCCCAGTTCCCCATTCCCCCATTCCCCCATTCCCCCATTCCCATCCATGCCCTGCTAAGCACCAGTAAGTGAATGGTCACTATCAAGACTTCCTGGTCACTACAAAATCGGCTCCAAAAAGTGATTCGATGGTACAACCAGCTCATTGCGTTGCATCCAGCTGGCTCACCGTGATTCACCTTTAGCAGGAAATTATGCGAGCACAAGTCATCCAGCCTCTGCAGGGTATCCTTCTTGTTCTTTCTTCATCTGGTCAGGCCAAGTAATTTTTTCATGGCTTCCGGACCTAGTAATTTCATGTAATTTTGACCTGCTCCAACACTGATTCACCGAAAAGCCAACAGCATTGTGCATTCACTTAGTCCGTTGCCCGGTACAATTTGAAAGCATCGAGTAAATCCAACATCTTCTTCCATCAAAAACGACTACCAAATTTCTGCCACACAGCCGCCGAACCAACATCAGCGGCAGTGTCCAGGCCATCCAGCTTAGCGATAAGGTCTAGATTCTAGATTCATGATGGTTCAGTTCCGCAGCAGAACAACACAAAATGAATAAATATATAGCAGCGAGGACAGCTGAAAAAGTACCAGCCGTTTGTTCACAGTCTCGCGAGTCTATCCAAATGTATATACCATGCTTTTCCAAGTCCCCACCTCTTCTGTGATGACTTCAATAACCTTCTTATGGTTCCTCAGTTGCAGCATAGGTATCATATCGGGAGACCTAGAAGAACATGCCCCCTTGGATGCTTCGGAGGCTTCCAAAGCTTCCAAAATAGACATCTAATCCAAAGACCCGGCACATCATCACTGTTATCAACAACCGTGTTTTCAAATCACCAAAATAATTTGTCAAATAGATAGAATCAATATGAAAATATGAAGGTTTCCTAAAATGGGAGTAATTACCCCTAAATCATCTATTTCAATAGGATTTTCCCTTATAAACCATCAATTTTATGGAAAACCCTATGTACGAAAAATTAAACCTCTGCCCGGAATTCATTTACAGAGCTTGGCTCGTGCACGAGCCGCGCGAGCCCCTAGGCCCCAGTTTGTCACATCTTGCCATTCTGAAACTGGTGGTGGCTGAATAAAAAAACCAAGGGGCTCGCCCGTGAATACTTTGGTGGTTGTAAAATGTTGTACAAAGAAGAAAATGTGTCGAAGAAATGACCAGTTCAGTGGTTGAAATTTGTGAACCCCTCATTGAAAATTGTTATTCCTCTGGTGTGGCGTGATCAATCATACGTAGCTCTAGGCTGGAAGGGATTCCGATCTGTGCCTGCGCAGTTTGGGGCGGGCTTCCGTATGGATCGAAACTGGATCGGCTGGGTTAGAAAGGAACTAACTTGCCACAAAATCACCATCAGATTAGCGTGTTGAGTAGGGTTTAGGGTTTAGGGTTCAAGAGAAAGGGGGGAACTAATTGGAAACACTCGAGGTACTAAGATCTAAGACGATCTAATCAAACCATTTAGATCCATTTAGGGTCTCGGACCGCAGTGGAGCGACGGATTCTCTTTTCACCGACCCTACATCCAACTGACCAACGCAGGCTGAGTTAAACAAACACAGAAGAAACTCATGTACATCAACTTGACTTCAGGGGCGCGCTTTTGGACTACAATTCATTGTTCTTATGCTATACGGGCTATGCGCCTATCTTTCTTTTTGTAACTGTATACAGTTCCAAACCACCGCAGCCCACAAAAAAAAGACAGACACAACGTCACCACCGTTACGTGAGGTGGGCACAGAAGCCATCAAAACATTTCCAAGGTGAACTTGCCGAAGTTCCCAAAGGGATAGACATGGTTTGGCCCAAGGCTTGTCTCCATCTCTTACTTCCGGCCTTTGCTGCCCTTCAACGCTTTCCCACGGGCCTTGGACCATGTTTCGCATTGGTGGCCCTCGCAATCCAACTACAAATCTGGCGTCGCCTTCCTGAGTAAAGATGCAGGATGTAGCGCACATTGCCAAAGCCGCGAGGAACATGAAGAGGTGGAGCCTGATCACTCTGCTATCGCACTTCTTGGAGATAGTAGTCTTCCAACACTGGTAGATCATGGTTCCAGTGCCCTTATATATATATATATGTATGTATGTATGTATGTATGTATGTATGTATGTATGTATGTATGTATATATATATGTGTATATATATATATATATGTACATATATATATATATATGTATATGTATATATATATATGTATATATATATATATGTATATATATATATGTATATATATATGTATGTATATATATATGTATATATATATATATGTATATATATATATGTATATATATATGTGTATATGTATATATATATATGTATATATATATATGTGTATATATGTATATATATATATATGTATATATATATATACAATCTAAAAGGACCTCCCAATGGATGGTATAGGCCAGACTAGCTACGTTTTTTTGTGCCCTGGCAACTCGGCCCCCGCACTCTTGACGTTCGCGGATCCGATTATGGAGCTCCTGGAAATCGATGTAGGCAGTCCAAAAAAGGGCTGTGCGGCTGTACCCTTTCAGAAATTGCCCTTGTTTATCTTGTTTTTGGGTGAAAATGAATGGGAAAATGATGATTAACACATATTAACACCATGAAATTTGGTGGGGTCGCATGTGGCAAGGTATTTCAGACAAACCCCCCATGTTTTGTTTGTTTTTCTCTAGCCCCAACCTGGACTTTGCCATGAGGGATGCCACGAATGTGAGTAGAACCAGATGGGTACAACCTACTTTCACCTATGCATGTCCTCGTGTGCGGATTGATGTGATTTGAGAGAACTTACGGACTTGCCAAATGGATAATGATGAACCATGATGAACCATGATGAACCATGATGAACCATGATGAACCATGATGAACCCCATTACAAACCATGATTCAAAGAGTAATCGATTTCGAGAATTCGAATCAAGTTCAAAAATTCACGACTCCTGGACTGTTCCCAGACTGTTCCCCCACCTTCTCTTTCTTCACTTGCTCCAGTTTCTTCTCTCGAGCGCGTTTCGTGTCTGCGGTGACCTTTATCGATTTTTTTGGCCAAAATGTGGATCCTGTGAAGTACTTATACAACGACTGGACTGAGAAATATGAACTAAAGTGATCTAAAGTGAAATGACTAAAGAATCAATAACTGAAACATTAAAGCCATGAAGTTAACTATAGTTTCGGGGGTTTTGTGAATGAAGGTTTGGTGTTTGGGTGTCCATAGATGTGACTAGTCCAGATGTTGGGTGGGTCAATCTGAAAGTCTTGAGGGGGTGCAAGTGCCACAAGCTCCCATCAATGGTTGGAATATGTTAGAATCGTATAGAATCGTATTATGTGGTTCTGGTCGCGTTATCTGAAATGGGTTCCTGCCAATTCATGGCACGAGAGCGAAACCGTGGCCCTTTTGGCAGCACAAAAACTCAAAAAGCTGACGCCTGCGTGCATGTTCCAGCCACTTTTGGTTTTGCTTCGTGGTGTTTTCAAACGTTTCTCTTGAAAGAGTTTCCCCACCACGGAAACTTGTGGACAAGAGCCACGGTTGCCTGGGTCTCCCCATTCTCTTACTTTCATGGCTAATTGTCATGGCTAATCAATGCTCAATAGGGATCTTTGTCAGGAGAATGGCCCGCAGGTGGACAAGTTCGAAACCAGAAAAGTGTTTTCTAATAGTATCGTCAAGCTGCAACTATCAGCCATTCAGCCATTTCTCTGCTGTGTCTGCTGTGTTTTACGTGCAGGCCTTACATGATTTGGTGTTCAACCCCATCCCAACGTTGTATCGATCACTGCACATCACTGCACCCAATACGAAACTCAAGGGCTTGATGATCGTCTGAGGACAACCCCCCGGTTCAGGTCTGGGAAAAATGGCATTCGATTCCAACTGGGCATTCATCTTCTGCTCCAATTCCATTGCATCCTGCAAGGGGAAAAAAAAACAGGGCCAAAACTATATATAAATCTACGGTGAAAAAGACAACACTCTGGAAACCAAACATGGATTGCTGGAAAATCCTCTACAAATGGTGTTTTAATTGGAAATTTCCCTATAGTTGAGGGGATTTTCCAGCAAGCCATGTTTGATTATCAGAGGGTAACTTAACTATACTCTGCTGCACTTGCGAGAGTATCCCTGCAATCCAGACATGTTCACCATGTGCAGTGGATTTTTCCCAAAAATCGAAATGACGAAATGTCCTACACACCCGAACGGACATTGGTTTAAAATGGTGTAAACGTCAAATATGTCAAAACTCCTACTCCCAATCGCGTTCAAGCTATGTGTAGACAGATAAGATAAGATAGGATAGGATAGGATTTGACCGGATCGGATAGGATAAGATAAAATAGGATAGACAGGATAGTAAGTAGATACTAAATAGATAGCAAATAGATAGTAAATAGATAGTGAATAGATAGTGAATAGATAGCAAATAGACAGTAAATAGATTGAAATTAAAGAGTAAAGGGATAGTAAATGCAAATAGATAATCAACAGGTAGTAAACAGACAGTCAATAGATAGTGGATAAATCGTAAATAGATCGTAAATTGGCAATAAACAGAGAGTAAAGAGATACTGCCTTGAAAGTAAACGGGTACTAAACAGATTGTGAACAGACAGTAAATAGATTTTAAAAAAATAGAAAACAGATAGTAAATAGGGAGCAAATAGATAGCAATGGATAGTAAAAAGATAAATGATAGTAAATAGACAGCGAATAGATCTTGAATGTTATAGATCCTGAATAGATCCTGAATGCATTGTGAATAGATCGTGAACAGATCGTGAATCGACCGTGAATAGGTTGGGAATAGGTAGTAAGAAAGAAGTTAATAGATAGTAAATAGATATTGACTAGATAGTACATAGATAGTCAACAGATAGTTCAAAAGATAGTCAATAGATAGTGCGTAGATAGTGAATAGATAGTGAGTCGATCTTGAGTAGATAGTGAATATATAGATAGTGAATATATAGCAAATAGACAATACAAAGATTGTAAACAGATTGTAAATAGAGCGCAAATAATAGATAGTAAACGGATAGTAAATAGATAGTAAATAGATAGCAAATGGATAGCAAATAGACAGTAAATAGATAGTAAATAGAAAGTGAATAGATAGTAAACAGATAGTAAGTAGATAGTAAACAGACAGTAAATAGATCGTAAATAGACCGTACACAGGTTGTAAAAAGGTATTAAACAAATTTAAACAAATAGTAAACAGTAATTAGATTGTAAATAGATACTAAACAATACAAAGATAGTACACAGATGGCAAAGAGATTGCAAGCTGATAGCAGACAGATAGCAACCAAATAGCAAAGATATATATGGTGAGAAGATAGTGAGTAGATGGGTAAATAGATAGTAAGTAGATAGTAAATAGATAGTAAGAAGATAGTAAACAGATAGTGAATAGGTAGCAAATAGACAGCAAATAGATAGTAAATAGAAATAAAACAGATAGTAAATAGATTGTGAATAGATAGTAAATAAATATAAATAAATAGTATATAAACAGATAGTAGATAGATCGTACATAGATGGTAAATAGATTCAAAGTAGATCGTAAATATACTGAAAATAGATAGTATACAGATGGTACACAGATTGTAAACAGATAGTACACAGATAGTGAACAGATAGCAATCAGATCGCAAACAGATCGTAATCAGATTGTAAATAGATAGTAAATAGACAGTAAAAAAAAAGTGAATAGATAGAAAATATATTGTATTGTAAAGAGATCGTAAATAGATAGTAAACAGATAGTAAATAGATTGTAAATAGAAAACAAATAGATAGTAAATAGAAAACAAATAGATAGTAAATAGACTGCAAATAAATAATAAATGGATTTAAAATAGATAGTATGTAGAAAGCAAAGAGATTGTAAATAGATCGCAAATAGATAATTAAAAAAACAAGTAAATAGATTGTAAGTGGATAGTAAACAGATAGTAAATGGATAATGGATAGATCGTAAATAGATAGTAAACAGATTGAAACAAACAGTAAAGAGATAGCAAATAGATTGTAAAAGGCAGTAAATAGATTGTGAATAGAGAGTAAACAGATGGTAAACAGATAGTAAAGAGAGAGTAACTAGATAGTAAAGAGATGGGAATGGATAGTAAAGAGATAGTAAATAGACTGTTAATAGACAGTAAATAGATGGTAAAGAGATTGTAGAGAGATGCTAAGTACTGTAGATAGTAAAGAGATACGTGCTAAATAGATAGTAAAGACATACTAAATAGATAGTAAATAAATAGCAAATAGTTTGTAAATAGACGGTAGATAGATAGTAAAGACATACTAATTAGATAGTAAAGAGATACTAAATAGATAGGAAAGAGATAGTAAATGGATAGTAAATAGACAGTAAATAGATTGTAAACAGATTGTAAACAAATAGTAAACAGATACTAAATATACGTATGTATATATTGTATTTATGTATTTATGTATTTATTTATTTATTTAATAATAATATATAAATAGTAAAGAGAGACTAATTAGATCGTAAAGGAATAGTAAATCGCTTGTAAGCAGACAGTAAATAGATAGTAAATCGATACTAAATAGATAGTAAATAGATAGTAAAGATATACTAAATCGATAGTAAATATATAGTAAGCAGATTGTAAACAAATACTAAATAGAGTAAACAAGTACTAAAAATACACATTAAATAGATAATACATTCTGTGTGTACTCTAATACTTAGATGCCTCTGACCGACCACGGACCCATGTCCTTCTCCAACTCCTCCCGATTGATGGTTGGCTTTTCTGGCCTCACTTCCTGGGCCAAGGGTCATGGACCCATGGTGGTACCCCTTTGTCGCTGGATGGTTTATAAGGGAAAATCCCAAACAAAAATGGATGATGAACAGGGGTGCCCCCCATGACTTCGGAATACTTCGGAAGCCTCCTAATATGGATCCATAGGGGCAATAGGAATATCACTTGTAGATGAAAAAAATCATGGGCATCACTTGTAGTTTTGAATCTTCCAAAATCCACAGGATCCAAGATACCGAGTCCGACCGATACCTATTAAATTGGCAGGTCAACACAGCCCGCCTCCACATCTGTCCTGGCTGAAAATTGGCAGTTGGGAACTCCAAATTACATCAGAATCTGGGTTGGTACGGAAATATAGGATACCCATGAATAGCCCATTTTCAGTTTAAGAGGGAAAATTATGATCAAGCATGATTTGGGGGGTAGCCTAGTTTCAGACACAGCTGTTTTTGGACCGTCCCGATTTTTCTTCACTGCGGCTGCGGTGCAGCTTGATCAGCTTGTCCACAGACTTCATCCTACTTATCTAAAACGGATTAATATATGAAGCATATCGGCCAATCAGTCAACAGAACCACGTGGGGCGATCAATTCTCCCAATTCCACATACAAGCCTTACATATCATACATTCAGTTACATTCACATAAAAAAAAAAAAAACACCAAGTGGACTCCTCAAACAAACATGATCAATTGAAAATGCCGCAGCTGCTATGGTGGCTGCAAACTTGAGCAATGGTTGCTGCCACCCACACACAACCAATTAATAGGTCTATCTTAGTCTTAGTTCGCTGTATGAGTATGACAGTATGACTCATCATGTTTGGGAATCTGTCGGAATCTGTAGGATACTAGGTTGCAAAGTCTCTTTCATGTCACTCTCATAGCTTTCAATGGCAGAAAGCATTCCTACGTTGCCTATCAACTGACAATCCTTCTGACTAAGTATGAATCCCAACAACTCAAGATCACTGCTAACTCTATCTGCATATAGTTAACAGTAGAATCATGGTCATCCATGGCCCTCCAACGCCTGAAGCTGATCGGAGCACCATCCACAGTCAAGACTGGAATGCAAGAGCCTGAGCGCATGAAAGTTCCAATCTGAAGCTCTGTTTTGCTGATGAAAAATGGCGCATTGGCATTGGCAAATTTTCGCGAAATCCGAAGAGCACCCACAATTTTTCACGTTTCACTGGTGAAAAACAAACTACTGGATTTGAGGGAGATGGTTCCCATCAGAAAACTGTCGATCGCAAAAGTTCCTCGTCATTCCCTGCTGTGGCGAAACAAGGTCTCCCAGGGTCACTGCTAAAGTTGGTTGTTTATCCACATGAACGTCGGGAGAATGAGATGCAAAGATTGCAAAGGCTTTCCACACGCACACTGGGCCCAGGATGCCAAACGCACATGGCTTGTGATCAGCTCACCCAAGACCTTGATGCAGGGATGCAACGGGGATGCTGCAATCTCAAACAAAAAACCATGGCTGCAATCGAAAGTTTGAAATGTACATCAGAAACCCGATTCGACCTGATGTATGTGGTTTCATCCCTTACATCCATTTACATCCAGCATCGTTTCTGGACTGTTTTATGGGATTCATGGGACCGCAAATGGGTGCCGAAGCCGACAATTCGCAGTCCCGGAGGTGTTTTGAATGAAGAATCATACCTGGAATGGTGGAAAGAAAGCAGCCAGATGTTGATTTTTTGTTGATATATCACCAATATGGGGATGGGTCAATACCTATAAGTACCATGTTTAGTGGGATGAACATCCATAAATCCCAGCTATTTTGGGGTTCACCAGGGGTACCAGGGTTTTGACCCATCACCAATATCACCAAGGAACTGGAATCCAGCTGGGGATGGGTGGTTCCAAAGTCACCTGCGACGTCACGATTCGTCACGACCGTTCGCAGCCATCATGTTCAGTCATGTTCCCTATCGAGAGGGACATTTTGTGTGGTATGCCTGATTTTCAGACACACCCAAATAGTCAAATAGTCATTTACATTGAGCATCCATCTCGCTATGATTACTTCACCCCTAAGTTTTGGGCCACAGGTTCCAGGGATGAAACTTGGACCGACCGCTGGACCCCTGGAGGTAGCAGTGCCATGGGGCTGTTTTGCAACATTCTTAAGCCATTCTGCCTGCAAAAGAAACAAACAGCGGACCAAAGGTCCACACATATACCCTCTGGTTATTTAACATAGCCATGGAAAATCACCATTTTTAATAGGTAAACCATCTATAAATAGGCCATGGCAAACTGTTAAATAACCACAGGGTACATCAGTTCTTAAGTCCTCAGAAACTGATGCTCAACTCGCCAGGATGAATCTCACGAATTGTGTGGACTGTTGCAGCCTTGGCTTCCTTTAGCTTACCCAAAACATGCAAAAAAAACAAAACAATAGTTCAATAGCTGCGGATGAGTACAATATCTTCGGCCTTTTCCATTGTCAGAGTTTGTCCCTGAAATCTCTAGTCTTTTACAGGTTCTGCGCAGCAGCTTGGTGGTAAACCTCCGGTTTCAACAGGCTCCAATCTGAGCATATGCATCCACATGTTGCACACATTCTCTAGTCGATCATATTCTATCTACCCACTCTAATTCTATAGTTCGCTTGGGTTCATCTGTCCTATCTGCTGGTATCGCGGTGAATTCTATGTGGCCTTGAGACAAATGACATGGGACACGTCCATTTGCGCAAAAGGGTCAATTGTTCAGTGGCGTTTGCCCAGGGAAATGTTGGGAAAACAAAACATCATTCCGCTTTATCCTTGGATTCGAAGATGATAAACAATGGTGCGGCCGTTGCGTCAAGCAGGTGCGGACCACTTCCCCCACCTTGATCTCTCTGGCAGTGGGGTCGATCCATTGTTCTGCCATCGGCTCAGATATTCGGGTCGGTGCTCCGTTTTTGGAAGTTGTTGGAGCGAATTCAGAATCGGGGCTGCTGCACTTACTAAAATCAAATATGATTCACATACCTGAGCTCTCCAACGCGTAAAAGGCTGGGAAATGCCCATGACATGTCAGCAATTGTACACTTCATCTCTTCGTTGTTTTGAAAACAGTGGCAGCAATCTACCACAGATAAAGATTATTTCCCGGCCACGGTGTCAGAACAGAGCGTCCCACCGACATCTTCGTTGAAGACCATCTTTGTATCTGGATCAGCGTCTTCTCGTGCCTCTTTGGGAACCAACCTCGCAAGGATAGGTGAACTGGAGGTATCTGTTCATATCGTTATGACGGCTGTTAGACGGCGAAAAAAGCTTTAGCAGTTCTGAATAGAATACATCAATAAATTTGATTAAAAAAAATCTTCACATCTTACAAGTTTTGACCAACAAAATCGCTCAAAATGAGGGCAGTTGTCATTGGAGCTCAGGGAATCTCATGGATAGCTCTCCCACGAAGCAAGCAATTTCCATCAATGTATCCAACAAGGAAAGGTAAATCAAACAGGATCAAAATCCAGTACCAATGTATCTGAACCCTGAGAATCCGGCAAATTCAAAAGTCCTTTCAAAATCTCAGAGAGATCTGATATGATCTGATAACTCAAGTAGCATCTAGACTTTGGGATAGGGCCAGGGATCAGCAGCTCAGCACCCAAGAGCTGGTGGAGCTTTTTCCCGCGGCGCGAGGAAGAGCTGCGACTGTGCAGTGCTGTGCAAGCCGTTTCACCATGGATCCAATGGTGGGCAGCTACCGTCCGCAGATGGAGAATGACAGGGAAATAACTTGAGTGAGATTTCCAGCCAACCAGTGATCTTGGGGATCTTGCCACACACGATAGAGTTGGATCTTGCTAGATGTCATCATGGCGGACTGTGAACTTACAAACTTTCACATGATCTCAACATATCTCAATGCATCACCGTTCTGATCTTAGCATGAATAGGCCATGAATGCCCCACAGGGGCCAAGTTTCTGCATTCCAGATCTTCTTCGGCTTTTCTTGGCCATGCACTGAGATGCTGTGCCGCTGGTGTTCTGCATGTCATCTAGACAAACTGTTGACCGCAGACACCACAATGATGTATACCTTCAAATCAGCTGGCCATGCCCTCACCACGCCCTCACCCGATAACGAAGTGTGGATTCGTAGGCAGGTCAAGCAAAATTGTTTCGATTTCAAGGAAACTGTAATGTCAACCCTGGATTAATAAACCCTTAGGCAGTTTAACTGGGGCAGTACCATTTAAGTATCAGATAATGACTATTGGGGAAGTACCCCCCCGGGGTCACAAACCCACCATGTATATAGATCTACATAGCCCTTACTTCCGTGTCAATAGCGCGCTTTGATTTTTTTGGAGTTACTTCACTTCAGATGATGTTCTACTTTCAGGAATTTCCTTGAAGCCGAGCAAGACCTTGTAAAAGTTGATAAAGTTGATTGGCCGCCTAAAAGCTGGTTGGTTTTGCTCAAGCCCCAGCAGTCTAGGAGTTTTCTGATTTCAAAGGGTGGCAGTGCTGCAGTGCTGTTGCGAGCACAAGCAAATTAGCAAAGAAACATTCCGATCTCAGCAGCCACAGTTGGGGAATCCCAAATAATTTTCTAGATAACACACATGACAAAAACATGCCGTCTAATTTTTTTTCAAAGCCTACAGTATAACTCAGTATATCCTTTTGCTTCGATGCGATTTCATCATATTTCATCAAGCTCAGAGGGAAACGTTTCCTTAGAATGCAGTGTCTGTGTGTGGGTAAGGTCCACAGGCTGCCAGAGTTCCATAGAGTTCCCATGGGTCCAAAATTCATTGGACTTCGCATCCATGTTCGTAGGGACCCTACAAAAACACAAGGCATCTGAGACGAGACTGACAAAACCTCTCGGGGGAACCATGGGGAACCCATAAGCTGTCACCTAGGGGACCTAGGACACGGCAGCCCACAGGGCTTAAGTCAAAGTCTTGGCAGTTTGGCGCAAGGCCTTAAGCTCGTTTGACATGAGCTTTGGAAATTTGCCTCGTCCAAGTGTTGAACAGACCAAACTCACAAGACGTCCTAGGCTCATGCGCTCCACGACGTATCGAATCTTATGTGGAATCCTTTGCACCCTGATGCCCGTGGTGTCACGGATGGTCATCTCACTCTCAAGGAGCTGAAGAATCCTCTCAGCTCCAGGAAATTCAGTATTCTCGACACGTTTGCGAAAATAGGGTAGAACCATCTCCATGAAGGAAAGCTCAGGTAGATCCTTCAGAAACTCACGGCTGTGCTTGTCCAGCGTGGGCATGTGCTCTTCCTGGTGGACAAAGATATTTGGCCATGCAGCGTCATCCAACGTCATCCAACATCATCCAACGCTCCCAAACCCTATTCCAATCTCTTCCGTCCTATTCCAACCACTGCTAGGGCCCTTTACATACAGCAAATGTTCGCCAAGCTGCATGAGCAACATGGCAGAAACCGCAATGTCCTGCATTCTTGCAATGCCCATGCAGGAAGAGAATGCATGGTCTGCAGCAAATGTCGGGATGGCCATAGCTTCCCGCTGAGAACATGTGATTGCGATGGGAAATCAAGGCATTCGACGAGGTGCTCTTTGAAGAAAGCCTTTGAGATCTCTTTTCCAACTTCGACACCTGAGCCGCAGGACCATGACTTACCAATCATATCATGACTGTAAAGGGACCTAAAGAAAGGAGCATCTTGATGATCTTGATGCGCTTGTCAGGTTGACATAAACGAATCGCTCAAATGATTGGTCCTTTGTGTCAGGTAGCGGTGTTAAAAACGTTGGTTTTGGACCGAATTTCCAGCACGTAAATTTGTTTGGACCGTATTTCCAGCACGTAAATTTGAGCCTCGCCCGCCTGCAATGTCAATTGCTTCTTGTCGCGCAGAATTTCAAGGACATTTTCGTCTTGTTTCCGCCTCTTCCTTTGCTGCTTCGTCAAGAAACCAAGTCACACACTCTTACCTCCAGTACCTTCAAATACAAAAGGTTTTTAGGTCGTCGAAAAAGCAAAAGCTGTGCAAAAGCTATGCGAAACCAGAGAGGCAACACTGGTGGTGAGCTTTTGGATCGTACCTCAACCTGTGACTCCGCAAGTTGGTCAATGAAGGTCATACGATAGTGGAGACCGGCCATGACGACGTCACGATGCACGCGTCGCGGGTCTCTGGGCCAAACTTCCGACATGGAAAGTGTAGACAACCAACAGCATGCCTACCCATGATACTGAACTATAGTGATGAGGCAATTTTCAGGATAAACTGGGATTGTCTCAAAATTTTGGAAGCCAAGATCCCATGGTTCATCAGTCGGTTTCCTTGTTAAGGATTTAAACGCCAGTTGGGGTGTCACGAAAGTTCACTTCGAAAAGCCACATCTTTTTTGGATCCAGACTTCGTAGTGACGTCGTAGACCAGGAAGTAGGTGAGGACAACAAAGATAACAGGATACAAAACAACACCAGCCTCGGCTTTGTCGCATGTGGCACCAGAACCGTTCGGATAAGCTAAGGATGTTTTTTTTCTCATACGCTTCGTCACCAAATCTACTGTACAAGATGTACACTAAACGATGATAGAAAAATCATATCAAGCTGCAAAACCCACAAAAAAGGATGCCTGCCGTCCACACAGAACAAAGAAATACCCGGCTTTTAGATTGCAGTGTTCAACCGGAGCACAACTTCGCACAGGTTTATACCTGCGATGGCTGAGCCCCTCGACTAAAACAAAGGCTTGAACTTCCCACCTGATGATAGAGCAGAATATGAAGTGCTGTGATTAGACGTTGCTTGCCATCTTGCCATCAAACATGACACCTGCTTCATCAGACATAAAGGGTAAAAATGATGGAACATGTGCCCAATCCGAGTGCGATGGAGGTACTCAAAGAGATGCATTGTTATCCAAATTATACTTGGTGAGGCTTCATCAAAAACGCATGAGATCGCAATTGACCGTTGCGATCGCAATTCCAGGCGGCTCAATTTGGAATCAAAGTCAAAGTTGACTTTGGATGACATGTGATTGAATCTGTTCAAACTATCTGAAACGCATCCCTTCTCTCAATGGCCAGCATTCTCTGAACAGCGCGCCGTTCTGGCTTCCAGAAAAAGAACGTGACCAATGTTGGCCTTGGCTCCACGCTTCTGGCGAACTGGATGAATTGTGGTCAAATTTGGGGTGAAATTTTGTGTGTACATCAAGTTTGTCCTTTTGAGAAAAATCGAAGGGCCGGTGGGGCATACCATTTATCATCATTTACCCTCTGGTAAACTAACATAACTATGGAAAATCACCATTTTCAATGGGAAAACTCACTATAAATGGCCATCTTCAATAGCTATGTTAAATTACCAGAGGGTACCTGTTGGCCAGCCCTCTGCGAATCAACCAACCAATGGAAAAAGGACATCTATGTTCCAGCATTCGACAGCTCTTTGCATCACGATCACTGTCTGAACCTCTGTATCTCATGCGCCCAAGATACCACATCTCCCGAATCCCCCACGACTTCACTACGAAGTCCAAAAAACGATGGAAATATATGGAAATTACGGTCCTCAGCAGGGTTGATGATCCCAAAATGTGAACGTTGACACTTGCGCTGTCCAAAAAAAATCCTATCAGTACACCCGCAGTAAAGCCACGATATCCATCCAATACATCCGACATTCTCCCTGAAGTTCTCCGACAAGAAACTGTGAGATGATTTTGGCAGCACTCTTGGTAAAGCCAATGAGGCCCTGGGCCGCTGCCAGTGGTGAGTTCGTAATGCAAAAAAATCTTGGGCCGAAGCAACTTTGTTTAAAAAAAGTTACTGATGTTGCTAAAGGTTGTATGGTTATCAAAAGAGGTGTGGTTCGAAAACTTCCGAGCTACGGATGTCTTATGTCCATGGTCAGTCTTGTCAGTTCAACCACAGTTACGGGGGAAACCCGTAGATCAGCAGTCCCGGCGTGTCTAAAAAAAATTACAACATAAGGGATGGTCTTTTCCCCGGCCTTGATATGGAGCTGTCGACAAGTGAACCAGACAGCAATAGCTCGATTTCGAGTTGAAAATGTTCAAAAACTGACGGCCGCAAACCACTCTCGGAAGACAAGGTCGGAAAAACGTGCATGAGACTGTAGCAAGACTTGGTTTCCCTAAAAAATGTATTGGCATGGGTGCACGCAGGAAAGCATTGATGCTGCGACGCTCCTGCTTTGCGGGCTTGCAGCCGGAGGTTGCTGAAGGCATTGTAACAGCTGCGAGAAGGGCACATTGTGAGCATGGTACCTTCTTGCCTTGTGCGGGTTTGCAGCTGGCGGGTGGAACGCGCAGTGTAATGCATGCGCGATCTGAATGGATCTGAGAGAAATAGCTGCGAGAGGGCAGTTCAGAGCAGGAGCTGGCCAGAGAAGAAGTAGTTGAGATAAGAGGCAGCTATGAGAAGAAGTGGCTGAGAGAAGAGGTACCTAAGAGAAGGGGTAGCTCAGCGATGAGGTGGCTCAAGAGTAGCTCAGTGAAGTGAAGAGGTAGCTTACAAAAGACTTGGTTTTGGGCGGTAGCTCAAGGAAGAAGTAGCTCGTGCATTCATTCGTTCGTTCATTCCTTGATTCATTGATCCACTGATTCATGGATTGACTCACTCACTCGTTGATTCACTATGTTTCGTTGCTAAGAATCACTCATTCAAAGACTCACTCGTTCGTGAATTGCCTCATTCATTGATTCACCCACTCATTAACCCATTAATTCACCGGCTCACTCATTCATGGATTCATTGATAGGTTCATTCATTCATTCATTCGTTCGTTCGTTCGTTCGTTCCTTCATTCATTCGTTCATTCGTTCCGTCATTCATTAATTCTCTCATTCACTCATTCACGAAGTCATTGCTTCATTCATTGATTCATTCAATAATTGTTTCACTCAATCATTGAATATCATTGATGCATTCACTCAGCCATTCATTCTTTCAAAGTCATTGATTTCATGTCCTTTTCCTCAGCACAGCCCTTTCATTGTTTCTGCATCTCACAGACTGAGACATTTCTATGGGCCCTTGGCTGGCCACGATCTGTGCGATCCTTTGAGCTGCAAAATGAAGCGTTTCCACACGTTACCAAACGACCTCCGCTTGGTCCCGGGAAACGGGAGCCTACGGCCTGTTTTCACCGGCGAACATGGAAACCATTGGGGAAACCATTAGGGAAACCATTGGAAAGCCATCATATTTGATCCCAGCACCCATTGCTTTCCAGAAATGACTGCGATACTTTAGGATCAACGTGCGGAAAACTGAAGCAATCTCCTCCCATGGCCGATGCCGATGCCGATAGATGCATGCCAAGCCCGGCCAACTCCCATACTCTCGGCGCTGGCAGGGCACACAATCCAACACGAAGATGGACAGAAACCCAGGCTCCAGCCATTTCACCCTGGCAGGTGGCCCGTGAAGAACTGTGCACCATTTTCAGACTGCAGTTGCCGTGGGGCTGAATGGATTCCTATAGGATGCCAAAAGGCCTATAGAAGATCAAATGAATCAAATGTTTGACGTGGCCATTCAACACACACAGGAAAAACACCACAAACCTTCCTGCACCAATTGCAATGCAAAAAGAAGGGGATTCCCAGCTGGATTTTTTCTGACCATTGCAACAGATTTTGGCAGGTAGAGCATGCCAAGTTCAACATGCCGAAATTGGATTCTGGTTTCAGAAATCATGAAAGGTGATCATGCGGCCAAGGTCTAGCTAAGCCAAGTCATTAGGTGTGCGCTTTGCAATTTGGAGAGGACATGACCGGACCTTCTCTGACTCTTCATCATCACCATGCGATAGTACCTGTGCTGATCAGGACGACCATCTCTCCCGAGATCCAAGTGATTTCGGGGTGATGTCCACCGTGTAGTTTCAGTACGAAAAACCGTACTAAACAGCATCCTGGCTGGAGTCTTGAAACATGTAAACCTCAGCGCTGTTTGATGTCAACGAGGAACAACGCTCAAAATCACCGGAACTTTCACATGATCCCTGGTTATAAATGAAATTTATACATTCAATTAATGGGGTTTTGTTACTGAAACTGTGTTTTTCCAGTGACTTTCAAAGAGGTTTCACCTTGTGATGTATGAGAACCCAGCGCACATGATGTATGAGAAACCAGCACTGAAAATCACCAGGAACATCAGCAAAAAGGTCCCTGTGTAGGTGTGCATCATTCGCCTCCGAGGCCGAAATGGCGTGCAGTTTTCGCGTGCGCCGCTTCCGTGCTCTCCACATGGACATCTGTGTAGAATCTAACTTTCATGCTGTAGAAACTGTTTCATACTGCAGATTCTGATGATTCTGGAAGTTTTGAGCAGTTTTCCAATCGAAAACCGATTCGTTGTGGATCTTGTTTTTCGCTGCTGCGGCCTGATGAGCTCCAGTTCGTGCATGAAAACCAGGAAAGGAATCACCTCGGTGAGGATTGGTGGCATGAAAATCAGTGGAGCGAGTTTTTCTCTGGAGCGATTGGGAAGAATGTGGTAAACCCAAAACTCTATATATATATATCATGTAACCCACCTAGGGCATACGAATGAATATATGCATATGTATGTATATATGTACAGTTTGTATGTATACATGTTTTGTGTCTTATAGACATATTGCATATTCATATGACATGCAATTATATGCATATCTACAAGTGATTACATGATCTCTCTCTGGGGTTCCTTCTGCAGTGATTAAAAATGATGCTGTAAATTTGGGGGTGCAGTTGAGGTTACAAATGGGTGTAACTATGGTTATACCATCTGGTCATTTAACATTTCTTAATAGGTAAACCATCTATTTCTATGGGTCATTTCCCATGGCAAAGTGTTAAATAACCAGAACGTATACATTGGGATAAGCCCCATGATTCTGGCTATCCACAGAAATAACTAGAGCTGCACCTCCAGACAAAGGTTAACGCAGCGCTTTTAGGATTTATCCAACCCAACAATCTGGTGAAACATCTCACAACAGTATGCCTGCAATGGTGACACGCTGAAAATTACATGTATTCCATGACATCTGAATAGAACATGAATGGAATAGATATGGTGTTGTCGGAAAATTTAGGGAAAACCCCTCATTCCATCCTCTGGTGAAATTAAAAACCCGAAATGTTCGTCGCTTTGGCTTCTTTAAGAACGAATTCCCTGTGGATGATAATCCCCATGAAAACTGGGGAACCAGGCATCGCTCATGGGATGCGAGTTGCATGGAATCTTGTTTCGAGCCTCTGGGTAGTCATCCTGACGAGCGATGCCCCTGCCAGTCTATATCTATAGATAAAGCTCTTCCTTTCACATCCAGTGTAACTGTATGTGTATATATATATATCTATAACAGAATATATAATATGAAAAATATTAAATATTTTATAGGATATAACATATATAATGATATATATATATAATGTATATAATATAATATATATATATCATATATATAATATATAATATGTAATATATATATATAATAATATATTATATGTTATATAATGTATTTTATTTATATACTATATTATAAATAATATATAATATATAATATATAATATAAAATATATAATATATAATATATATTATATATTATATATTATATATGATATATTATATTATATATTAAATAATATAATGTAATATATATATATATATTATAATATATATGTATATATAATATTATAATATATATATAATATTATATATTATATATAATATACTATATAATATATTTTATAATATATATAATATATTATATATTTAATATGTAAATATATATAGTATATTCTAATATAGTATAATTAATAATATATTATAATATCATAAAATGATATTATAATATAATATAACATAACATAACAAAATATCATATAACAATATATTATAATATCATAAAATAATATTATAATATAATATAACATAACATAACAAAATATAATATAACAATATATTATAATATCATAAAATAATATTATAATATAATATAACATAACATAACAAAATATAATATAATATAATAATAGTATATATATATATATGGAGATATTCGATTTGTTGCGTCCTTCAATACGTACATTGATGGACTTAAACAACTGCAAAAACAATACCAAACAAGAAATCAGTCCACATCCGCACATCGCAAACGCACGACATCTCCCCAACGCCCCAACCCCCGACCCCCAAACCTAAATGTCTGTACCGCCGTGAGATGTTCTGAAACGTTCAAAACACTGCAAAAAGGACTTGAACCCAAGCATACCCATATAATCTGTCTAGATTTATATATAGATATATATATATATACATATAGAGAGAGAGAGAGAGAGCACATATATACATACATAATCATACAGTATCCTATATATCGCCATCTGCATGCATGTGAAAAGCAACTTTGAATTCTTCACTCACGAACTGCAGGATTCAGCCATGACCCGGTGGCAGGGTCAAAATATCTCAACATCGAAGGTCCAAACCCCGGCCTCCGTCACATTGGCTGCCGCGGTCTTTTCAAGGAAGTCCTGGCAGATTGAAAGTAGTTGTGTACCAAATGGCTTGGTGGTAGAATCTGGTAGAAAGAAGCCATGGCTTCGAGATTCTACAAGGTCTGAGTCTTACGCTGGGCTTGGAGATTCTTGGCATGTTCTCATATTCCGCGTCCCCAAAATGATGACGACTGTGGGGCAAGGCTTCAAGCGCTCCTTCCATTCCCTTTGTGTCCACTGTACCACCAGTAGCGCACTGTCAGGCCCCTTGACTTTGGCCTTCCAGCTCTGAAATCTGTCATTCTGAGCTCTATAAAAGCAAAGTTGGTGCAGATTCTCATCTGCATCATCTGCCAGATATTCTCTATTCGCAATCTCAATCATCAAATAAGTTCTTACTACCTGTCAGTGAACTACCACGAGTACGATATATATATATATATCCATAATATATATATATATATATATCATCAGATATAATCACATTTCATAGATCACCCGTATCTATGAACTACTGATGAACTGTTACAACATATAGATCATCTTATAGATCATCTTATAGATCATCTTATAGATCATCTTATAGATCATCTTATAGATCATCTTATTGATCATCTTATAGATCATCTTATAGATCATCTTATAGATCATCTTATAGATCATCTTATAGATCATCTTATAGATCATCTTATAGATCATCTTATAGATCATCTTATAGATCATCTTATAGATCATCTTATAGATCATCTTATAGATCATCTTATAGATCATCCTATAGATCATCTTATAGATCATCTTATAGATCATCTTATAGATCATCTTATAGATCATCTTATAGATCATCTTATTGATCATCTTATAGATCATCTTATAGATCATCTTATTGATCATCTTATAGATCATCTTATAGATCATCATCTTATAGATGATCATCTTATAGATCATCTTATAGATCATCTTATTGATCATCTTATTGATCATCTTATTGATCATCTTATAGATCATCTTATAGATCATCTTATAGATCATCTTATAGATCATCTATAGATCATCTTATAGATCATCTTATAGATCATCTTATTGATCATCTTATAGATCATCTTATAGATCATCTTATTGATCATCTTATAGATCATCTTATAGATCATCTTATAGATCATCTTATAGATCATCTTATAGATCATCTTATAGATCATCTTATAGATCATCTTATAGATCATCTTATAGATCATCTTATAGATCATCTTATAGATCATCTTATAGATCATCTTATAGATCATCCTATAGATCATCTTATAGATCATCTTATAGATCATCTTATAGATCATCTTATAGATCATCTTATAGATCATCTTATTGATCATCTTATAGATCATCTTATAGATCATCTTATTGATCATCTTATAGATCATCTTATAGATCATCTTATAGATCATCTTATAGATCATCTTATAGATCATCTTATAGATCATCTTATAGATCATCTTATAGATCATCTTATAGATCATCCTATAGATCATCTTATAGATCATCTTATAGATCATCTTATAGATCATCTTATAGATCATCTTATAGATCATCTTATTGATCATCTTATAGATCATCTTATAGATCATCTTATAGATCATCTTATAGATCCATGTAGTAACACGTCATCAGTTCATCGCATCACCATTCACCAGCCTTGTCGTCATCCTCGTCTTTGTCAAGACGACGAGGAGTCAACTCCTGGGCTCGCAGCAGCTTGCCACAGACATCTCCAATGTTCAAAATCCAATGACAGGCACCATGTTTGGTCGTCAGTCCACAAACAAAACGGGGGAGTTACCCCCATAACCCCAATTTCCAATGGGATTTTTACCATCCCCAAGAACTCACGTTATTTTGATGGGTGGAAAAAAAAAAAACATCATCCCCAATATGGATGGTGGTTTTTCAACATGGGTGTTATTTTTATAGGCTATAATCAAGAACCATCTAATTTTACCCAATTTTTTGTATTCTTCATGATTGCGAAAACTAACATTCCTGTAATCTATTTCCACCGATGGAGAAGATGCGACACTGCTACCGGTTCACCACGGTTCATCCCCGTAGCATATCCACTGGTTAATCATCATGAAACCCACGCCCGATGCATCCGGGTAAATTATCATTCCAGTGATGTCGCGGTGAGGTCGTTATAATCTATCCAAATGCATGGGACATGTTAATGACATGTTTCTCCGTAGTTCTCCCATAGCATCTCCTTGAGACTTCGCAATGGTGCATCGCCAGAGACATCTCCTGGTGCCCAACGAACTGACAAAGGAGTAGCGTGGTACAAGTCCGAATCTAAAATGGTGATTTACCCTCTGGTAAACTAACATAGCTATTGAAAATGGCCATTTATAGTGGATTTACCCATTAAAAATGGTGATTTTTCATAGTTTTTTGTATGTTTGCCAGAGGGTACTCAACTCGATCTTTTGGGGGGTAAAAGATGGTAAAAGGAAATCCAATTCCACATAATTCCACCAATTCCCCTAGTCCGCTAGGTCTTTTAATGGCGGCCACTGAGCTCGCGGGAGCCCTCCACAGTCACCCAGCGATCTTCCATAGAAAACTCGGGCATTTTGCCGCATTGCTCCACGAGATCTAATGAACTGCCCGAATGTCGAATTTCTTTGGGAGGAAAAAGGATGAAATCCATGGAAATCCATCTATGCCCCTAAAAAACTGGATCTGTTCGATGGATGTGTCTTTTCCCCAAGAAATTTGCCAATCCCACGATGCTGGAAGTGTGAAGCTGATCTTGGCAAAGGGACCATGGTGCTAGTGGACTTCGCAACGGACTCCTAAATCATGAGGTAGTATACCGCGGAATACCAAATGCTGTACATGATGTCATTATACAAATATAGAACAGAAGGTTGAAACCATTCGACTACATTCGACTTGTAAATGTCTGGAGATTTTTGTTTACAGAAGATGAACCTGTAACCCCAGTTCCAACCAAAAATGCCCATGCTTGTGAAACCCTATGGTAGAGATCAGAATCCTTACATAACAAATGGTTGATACTGGGTCAACCACCATGGCTACTTCTGGTTGGAACTGGGGTTCCAAAAATCTTTCGCACCGGTGGAAGGAGCAATTCCAGCCCATCTTGTCATCACAGGTAAGTAGATATTGCCTGGATATACATTCGCGTAGTCATATGAAATCATGCGAGAGAGAGAGAGAGAGAGTTATATTCAATGTTATTCAGTTATTCCAGTTTTCATGATATACATGTCAATAGATCATAGCAGTTCATGAATGTGCATGATATTGGGTTCTTAAAACCCATCCAAGGCAACGCTATGCCTCTCAACTATCCTGCCCTGTTACAGAAGACTCATGGGGCTGCCTGTCAGAGCAAGGAACAGCTTGGTGCTGGTCTGAAAATGATGCTTTTGCATGCTTCTGTCCCCAAAATGGTAATTTTGAGAGGGAAATGGATGATTCAAAGATGAATACCCATCTTTAGACAACCCCAAAATATGCCTTGCTTCAGAACACCTGTTCGAAAAAAGGTGGTGAGAGAAGCATCGTCAAAGATGAGAAACACACCGACAGGAGTCAGCAAAAAAATGCGAAAACAAAGAGATGGCTTGGACAGCCACAATTGCCCATGATGATGAACCCATGGATATTATTTACATCTACACTATACACAATTGTACACCTATGCAGGCATTCACAAGAAAATCAACAGAAAACCCCCCGCGGGACGCCATGGACCTGCCTGTAGAAAACGCCACGGCCTACGAGGAGGCCCCCCACCGCCCCAACGGTGCTCCCCACTGAGGCTCCTGAGAGCTCTGGGGTCTGGTCCGGCTCAATGGGGTAATGTGGCCATGGCCCATCAGGCCCATGGTGGGCCATGGTGGCCATCATCTCAAAGATATTTGGACTAACAGGTGCAATTTGATAAGGGACGACAGATAGGGGATATCACCTACTCGACCTGATATGACGGCTAAGACATCACTTGCGCCTCCACAATTTCATCACTTGCGCCTCCACATCACTTACGCCTCCGTACATCACTTACGCCTCAATCAGCTTATCACCTGCGCCTCCCATGACCTGATTCCCATCACAGCACGCGGGATTCTTCCCTTGCTCATAGCAGCTCAGCGTGAATCTTCTTCTTCTTCATCTTCTTATTCTTCTTCTTCTTCTGCTTCTTCTTCTTGTTGTTGGTCATATCTGTGCTTGACACGTACCTCTGTTTTGTGTGCGGTCCCAGCCGTCTGCGTGGCGAAGAAAGATACGTGCGCGCTGCGACCGTTAAGGTAGAGGAATCATCTGCACACACGAGGCGGTTACCTTAGGGTTTAGGGTCGGGTTCAGGGGGGGGGGGGGGGGGGGGGGGGGGGGTTGAAGGTTTAGGGTGGAAAGCCGCACATAGCAGAAGCTGACAAACGCAACATAGAAGCCACTTAGACGCCAGACATGGAAGCCACTTAGACGCCAGACATAGACGCCGCTTGGAAACAATAAAGAGAAGCCATTTAGACATAAAAGCCACATAGACGGCAGACATAGAAGCCAAACATGGAAGCCATATTGACGCCAGACATGGAAGTCTTTCAGCTGGCAGACATAAAAGCCAGATAAACGCCAGAAATAGAAGCAATCTAGAAATAGAAGCCATATTGACACCAAACATGGACGTCACGTAGCACGCGAGCATAAAGGCCACATGGAAGCTACAGACTTAGAAGCCACTTGGAAGCCAAACTTAGAAGCCACATGGACGCCAGACATGGAAGCCACTGAGCAGGCAAACATAGAAGCCGAATTAGCGACGCACAAAAAAAAATGCCATATAGAAGCCAAAGATAGAAGTCACTTAGAAATCAAACATAGAAGCTATATTGACGCCAGACATAGAAGCCAGTGCGCAGGCAAACCCAAAGGCCATATGGAAGCCAGAGATAGAAGCCACTTAGAAAGAACCGCCAAAGATAAAAACCACGAAGATCAAACGTAGAAGCCCTATGGACAAAGGTAGGCAGCGTACTAAACACTCGTCCGTGGCACAAGCGGTAGAAAACTCGAGGCACAAGCGACGGTGTGGCTTCAATTCGACGATTTTCAGGCTCCCTGGCTCTCCCCAAAAAGGCACCAAAAACAGAATTGACTCAGCAGTCCTACACAAAGCCCCGCGCCCGCACCCACCGCAGCACCCAGAGGTACTGAAAGCCTTGGCCGAAGCTGCCAAAGATGGCATGGAATCATGACAGAAAGACTGGTGTAGGAAAGACCAACCCTTTCCACCAACTTTGTTTGGGCCCTACTCACCTTGTCAGAAATCAAGACCCCTCGGCCAATTGTTTGACGTTACTGGAGAATTGCTCCAGGGAATAGAAATGGCTCTGGTATGCTCTCACCAAAGTCTTATTTCGCTCTAGATGCTCTAGTGAACCTTGATGAACCTTGCACATGCTGAAGTCAACCAATGTCTCCATAACTGGCTGCATTTAGTGTGTGAGTGCAGCTTCTGCTTCAACTCTTTCCAGAGTTATAGGTTTGAAAGTCAAAGATTATGTAGTTTCTGTTGGCAAAGGACATGAGACAATAGTGACTCCACTCCAAGAACACACTGAAACTTGTGCTGCATATGTAAAAAGTATACAGATAGCAATAGTTAATATGAGACACATACTACACACGGAAGTTGTGGATACTGCAGTGGGCGAGGCCGACCCTACCTTGTTTTCTATTCCCTGACCTCGTTTATGACTATTGTGCACAAAAATCCAAGTTGTTGCTCAGTTGTTGATACCCAAACCCGCATGAAATCCCAATTGGGCCCCAATCAAGCCAAATTTACCCACCAGAAATCTCGCAGAATTACAATAATTCGCCAGAAATCTGGTTGAATCTTGTTATTCTTCTTGAATTCTCACCATCTGAGTCTCCCTGCCCAGCAGTGAAAGGTGCTGGAGCCAACCCCACCAACGCACCAATGGATCCCCCACAAACCAGACCGCCGGTTCCACCCGCGATTCCCATGGTCAGATAGCCACCTCCAGCTGAATCAATGGAAACAACCATGGGCCTGCTAGGCCAGGGCCTGCTAATCCGTAACAAATGGGACTGGGTAAACTCAATAAACCCATGGTAAACGATCATTTATTTGGGGATGGGTCAAAACCCTATCCCCCTGGTGAACATCAAAATAGCTGGTAAGATGTTCATCCCCCTAAAAATGGTATGTATAGGTATTGATCCATAGCATTCCATAGCCATTTCTGGTTCTTTGGGGTTGGCTGCAGCCTGAGAGGTCACTCCGCCTTCACCACCAAAAACTGTGGAATGGGGAATCTCAGGACTGTGAAATGTGAACAGTTGAGCCATGAACAATACCCCTATCTCATCTCATTAGATGGTTTATTTCGGTCTCCCAATCCTGTGGATTATCATAATCCCGATAAAAGAGCATAAAAGAGCTAGTTTTGTATCCCCCAATATAAATAACCAACAAAAAAGAGTGTCACTTTAATGGCTCAGTTGTCATCAAGGCTTGTCGATGTAACAACCAGAAACCGGCGGCGCCTACCGTCACGGCAGCTGTTTGTTGTGCCCGCGGATCTGAAGCTACCTAGCCGACAACAGATTGCCCGCGGACCATGGATAAGCTTGAAAAAACCAAAGCATTACCACAGATACATCTACAGTAACTCCCCCCCAAAAAAATAGAGTTTAGTAAATCATCACTATTTTCATCACCATTTTGACATGTTACTGTTCGCTGTTCGGGGATTGCCGAATCACTCTGTCAGATCAAAAGTCATGGAATCACAGGGCCACGTTTCAGCTCTAACTTCCTAAGTCTATTCTTCCCATCTGATGGCTTCATAGCCATGCTTAAACCAGTCATATCATTCATAGTATGACCATAGTGAGAAGCTCTTTTCACAATCAATCTGCAGATCAACGCCCCTTTTTCCGGGCCTCGACCACAGACTTCCACCATCGTGATTGCGATTCACATCCCTCAAACACACAGTTCACCAAGCACCAGGACATGTTTTCCATGTTTTGCCACGAATCGCTGGAATCACAATGAGTTTCTCAATCCTGGTCTGATCTCGTGCTTGCAAAGGCCATCGAAGTGTCACGAAATCCTTGCTTCAAAAATCTTCAAAGTGTCATGGCAAACGTAGCTCAAACGTTGCCCTGTTGACACAAAGCTCAAACCGAAGTCCAGCCGCGGTTGTAATCCTTCTGTAATTCCCCATTGAAGCTATGGCAGCTGTGGTTTCCCCTGGGTGATGCTGTGGGACTGGCCTGGTCTGACTGGTCTTCCGGAAATTCGTCAAGGTCGCCAACATCCAGAAAGTCTGCCTTGTCCTGGCACAACAAACCCTGCCATCGTCTCTAACGTCAGGATGACAGATATTCGGATGGAAATTGGGATAACAAATCTGAATCTTTCCTGGATTTCATGAATCCCACAACGACTGGCAGATTTGAAGCTACAAAATCCCATGGTCCATGAACTAATAACCCCCTGGCCTAGTAAGCCGGCTGAGGGGAGCCGTTGTGGCTACCTTTTTAATATCTCTGTGCCTGTTGTGGAGTGAAATTCCCTAAAATCATCCAAATCCAAAAGGTTACAAAGCGCGAAGTCTATGAAGTCTATCACGTGGTTGGGAAACTCTATTCTTAGCTCCACTTGGCTCCGCATGGCTAATAGGGAATGGATAACTATAGCTTCCAACCCTCAAAACCATGAAGCCAAAAGCACCTTTCCAAACTGCGAAGAGCGCCCCGCAGCACCTGAAACTCTGACTGGCAAGTCACGTAGCTCAAGCGGGTACGTCGCCTCACTGCAGTGTCTTATTGTGGCTCTAAGTGTTCAAAGCCTGTTGAAAGTGGGGGGGGTGCACCAAAACTGGAATTTCGTCCGCCGCAAAATTTCTTCATATCACACCAAAATCGCTATGGATGATGGATCTGCGGTGTGTAGTTGCAGTGCTGTCCAAGATCATCAGCTTGGGGCGGCCTTGAGATCACTGGGTTTCCCCACGTCGCAATTGATGCCACAGATCCCTCCGCAACACCAATTGACTGCACAAAACGAACCAACCATTCGCGTATCACGTGAATGTTTGGGTGGGCATTTGTGGCTGGAGGATGCTCCGGAGTCTGTGGAGCATGCTACGAGTCGCCACTTCTCGAGTTACAGGAAAGGACATTCCGATTCTGATATTCCTCAGTACAGTGGTTAGTACAATCCCTGAACTAATCATAACCAACCGTTCTATTTCCATCCCCATTATTTTCTGCAAAAGATGATCAAAGATACAGTTCTACATAGTTCTACTGTTTTTCCTACCCATCCAGTTTTTTTTGGACCAAGGACGTTCTCCATTGCCGATGGCCTCTCCATGACAGAGTTGTGCGAGGTCATGGTCCTGATCCTGCACATCAAGATGGCTCTGATTTTTCAGGGGTCAACCCCCCAAAGAAACTATGTTCAACATGGTTTCTTCAACATCTGTCAACGGGGAAAAATGATTAACATAGACAAAAATCGAAAATGTTGGATGAACTTGGGGGGGTACCATACTGTATTTGCAAATAACCCCACTGTGCGACGGTCAAGACTCAATACATGTGGGAGCATCCACAAGGCTCCCAGCACCTATTTTTCTCAGTGATTATTGAGGTGAGATTGAGGCAGGCCAAGGAGTCTTCCAGTACGTGCATGTGCGAGCTGTAGTGCTTCTGCGTGGGGAAAGGAAGAGAGGAAAGAGAAAAAAAATGAAAAGGAAAAAGCCAGGAATGGGAAAAGGAAGAAAGGAAAGGGAAAAGAGAAAAAGAAGAAGAGAGGAAGGAAAGAAGAAAGAAAGAGGAAGCAAAAGGAAAGAAAAAGTGAAAAAAGGAGGAAAAAAATGGAAAGAAAGTGAAAAGAAAGAGAACAGAAAGAGGACAGTACTCTCATGGAAGGGGACAAACAAGAAGAGGAAAGGAAAGGAGGAAAGGGTTCTGGGCTCATCTGGGCTCGGGGGCGACTTTTTGAGCAAACGGGTATCGCTTAGGGCATAGGGCATGCTGCTTCCAGCCACCTCTTGATGGGGCCCAGGCTGTGGCAGCGTTGCACCCAAAAGCCAACAACAACAACAACAACAGTATCATCATTTTCCCAATTGAAATGGCCAATTTTATTCGCGGCGCATCCACCATTTGTATTCTGGAACAGGATTCCCCTGGAGTGTGATATTCCCCGGGGTTAGAATCCCCGGCCCGAACTCATCCAAGCACTGCCTCCTCGAGTTGCGCAAGGTCATCACTTCCACCATTCTGGCCGAGATTCGCAGATGGGGATGGAACCCAACAATTGAGCTGGTTCTTACGGATGCTCATCCCCCCAAAGATGGTCTACTAGAGTTTACTTATCTTGGAAAATGATGGGAAATATGATGGAAAATGGATGTTCGTCCCCTCAAAATATGGGAGTTCACAGGTTTTGATCATCCGCATATGATCACCATGCTCGATGTACGGCCCCTCCCCTTTATCGCGCACCTCAGGGGCTGGTTCCATGGTCAAATCGATGATGCTCCAGCACAAGCATCGATCATTCAACCCCCTTATTTTCGCAGTAAGATCTTTGAAATGGGTGCTTAGTAATTTGTTGAACATCCCTGGAAACACCTTTCAAACAATTTCATGCTCAGTGCGCACATGAAAATACATGAAAATGATGAAAGATCTGTACGGATCTGTTCGGATACTTCAAGGTTCCATACATTTCATCTGCTGCATGGTCTGCAGCTCAAACTTCATCCTTAAAGTATGCATGGTATGTCGCGTGTCCCTTCATACTGGCTGCATCTTTGGCTGTGCAATTCGTGCCATCGCACTCGAGCCGTCAACTGTCATGAGCTGGGGAGCTCTGTGATCCACTGATGGGGCCTTTTCAACTTCAGTATACTTCAGTTACCGCTGCAGTGGTAAACGTCAGAGCGGTTGAGACAATGCTTGTAGCCTCCAACCACTACCGGGGTTCCTGTTACTCAAGTGTTGAGACCCATCAGCCCGGCACAAGGGTCCTATGTGTCTGCTGAACAGGCATCAAACTAGTGCCTGAATCTGTCAAGACGATCCAATAGAGATGATCTTGTCGTTGGCAAAAAATGCTTGAAGCATAATATGCACAATTTCTCCCATAGGACCTCCGACTAAAATCTGAAGCACATGGGAAGATCGCATCATCATCCTACTCTGGAGACCCATGCAGACCCAGAAATCTCCTGCATACTTCCGAACTCCTCTGAGTGAACGGAAAGTGTTATTTCCTGGCACTGCCACAGGGTAACTTTCATCGTGGAGGGACTACAACCCCTTGATCCTCTTGGCGCCATGGTTTTCAACAGCTCTGATTTGAAAGGGAACTCCCTACGTTTACGTTTTCTAGATGCTTCCCCACCTTGATACATGGGGGGGGTTCTGCAATATGAGTGTGGGATAGTGTGGCTGTGACTCATATGAAGCCTTGTGAAACCAGTGTCTTTCCATCTTGGCCCAGCATGGCCTTGCTGAGTCATGGACTCCTAATTCAATCATCGATCAGGAAAGGTCTTCCGGAGTGCATCGTCAACTATTTGTGTTCACCTGACAAACTGCGGAGATCCCTTTTCCTCAGATTTTAGACCCTTTCTTTTTCGGCCCCGGATGTGCTCCCCACCTGCGTTGGCCGCCCGACTTTGGGCGTCGTGGAGCACCAACTGGCCAGAAAACTGATCGCCATAGATCATCATAGATCGACATCCAAAAACGACCCAAAAAATGACCTAGAAATGGCTTGAAGTCATCCAAACAAGTATAGCACGTTCCTCTGGTTTGTAGTGAACTATTGAGAGTTGAAGTGACAGAATCACGTCCTAACATGGAGTTACATCATGCTACATCTACTGGCACTACAGATCAAAGAATTTGAGACTACACCGCTAAAGACTACAGCAGCCATGAACCTGTCAATTAAAAAAAAAGTTCCAGCATGTAAAAACCCTCGAGAGCCAAAACAAAAATCAAAAGATTGAAGAAAGGTCTCACCAATTTCGCCAAGACCAAGCTGCAAGTTGGTGAAACTATACACATGTGATACCGTGATACCTTAAGTGATACCAATGTGATGGCATGAAAAAGGCTTGTCACGGCTTGTCCTGTGTGATCGCGCGCAAGGCAACCAGCACGCCTTCCTCTCCGTCTCCGTCTCTGTCTCCGTCTCTGTTGTTTCTGTAAACATCTCGTCCACGCTGGCCAAACTGCGGCACACCGGCGTGGCTCTGTGGTGAATTGGTCAACTCTCGGTTTCGGCCAATTGTCGGATGTACCATGTCCAACATGTCTAAGAGATAACATTGCACAGATGTGTCTTATATGTGTAGAGAGAGAGAGAGAGAGATGGAAAATAATGGAAATATATTCTATCGCAATTTGCCCTTCGACATTCAACAAAGATCTACCCACCGTCTTGTTTTACAAAGGTAATGGCCGCATTCAAAATCAATGACTTTTTGGATATATTGCCATCAGAGTTACTGCCTTACAGAATGCGTGTTTCGAATAACATCTCTCGCCAGTGATCGAAAAAACAAAGTAACTGTCGTGTAGCCATGTGTTGTATTGTCTGGGCTGGCTTGTTGGGTGAACCTAGGCCCAAATACTGATTGCGTCACAAATACACTGGGTATCGTAAGAAATTATAGGATTTGCCCCTTCGAATATACTGTATTGAGATGTGCTGCTGCAACATTCACGACATATCGAAATCCCACCCGGCTGATCCACTTGGAACACTGCCCCATCACATTCCGTTCCAGGCTGTGGCGTCTGTGGCAAGGCACCTCTCCAGCAAGAGCTTGGTTCCGTCGGGGTGCGAATAGAGGATGCCATTGGCTGCTAGTTGCCCTTCGACATGTAAGGCCTCAGTGCAGGCAGGGAAGACTGTCGGATTTCAGAAAAATTTGGCGTCGCCCAGGTCAATTGGCCAAGTTCACTTCTAGCATACTTTTAGCCAAGTGATTCTTTCAGATTCTGAACTGGGTTCCAATTTTTGCTGTCTGAGATTGACACCCTCCCTTCCTATGGGTCTTACTTTCCCATCAGCTTTTCCCTTCCCAAGAGATTTTTTCTTCCCAAAGGGGTTCCAATTTGTTTTCCCTTCCCGTTTTGGTGCTTCTCCCTTCAACGGCGTGGGTTTCCCGGACTTCTGCGGGGCGGGTTTTCTCGGAAACAGGGGTCGAGGGATTTGAACGTAGAGAAGGATTGTGAACATCTGAATTTTTAACATCCGGAACGGAGGAGGAAGCGGGGGTAATGAAAAAGCCAAGGGAAATGCGCATAAATGGGGTGAGAAGGTGCCTGAAGAGATGCAAAATGAGCCGGTGAGGAGGCTGCAGATGTTGAAGGAGGTGTAAGAAGCAGCTGAGTGTTTCGACTGTGTACGAGAGATTGGGACTGTGTCGTCCGCATATTCTAAGTGGACATCCTTGTCGGATTCCGCGTTGGGGGTGATATTGTGGAGAATCAATTGAGAATTCTGAGACGTACGTAGAACTTACAGGCAATGGCAAGAAGAGGAGGGACTCTATATTTGCGGAGAGCAGCGGATACTGTAGGCGGTCATGACCAATGGAGTCAAATGCTTGTGACCAGTCTAGGAAGCGGATATAAAGGGAGGTGGAGTGAGAAAATACCGATTTTTAAAGGCAAAAACCTGAGAAGGGAAAATACCGAACCCTGGAACCCAACTGATCATCTACTTGCACATAAAAAAAGATGCTAGACTTCAAAAGATGGTGAACCTGCAGATTGAAAGCTTGGCTGGAAGCTGACTTACCAAAATGCGCCCAAATCGATGGGACATCCGCAAAAAACGATGGTAATCACCTAGTCTATCCCAGTGGTTTCTGCAGTTCAAAATCTTTTCTCATCAAACTTAGACTTGCCGAGCTCCAAAGATCAAAAATCCTGGAACCCCAAACAACCAGAAATGATGGTCAACCCTGTTTCGCCCATTTATTATGTAGGGATTCGGAGCCCTTTGGGTTTCACATGGCTATGTTTGGTCGGGGTTATCCGGTCGGCTAGGGCTCCACACGTAGCAGTACTGGAGCACCAGTGATCCAGACTTCTTCATGTCACCCACAGAGAATGCGTCCTGCAGGTCTCCACCCTTCAGATAGTTGGGCTGAGAGGACTGGATGATCCTCCCCAATATATTCTGTATATGTCGGGTACAACAGCCCCCGATCATCAACCAACATATCGGGTTGTCACCAACGGTTGCCCCATGGACCAGAGCAGCCAGGCGCTGTTTATTTGGTGAGAAAACCGCTGCGGCAAACTCTGACTTGTCTGTTCCTAGAGTTGGCTGTGGAGACACAAAACAACGTCCATGGAAAACTCTACTAACATTCTAATACCAACAAGATGCATACACTTCATCAAGCTCATCATGAAAATCCGTTCATTCCCTCCATGTGACTTTCCCCATATTTGCCACGACTGAACTTCCATTTTTTACTTCGCAACTTCCGCAAGAACTCGCCTTCAGCTGCTGCACCGCTTTGTTGCGCATGTCGCGGACATCCTGATGGGATGGGGAGAAAGGGCATATCGCCATATCCCAGCATTGCGGATGTCCCCACGCCTCCAAGCTCGGTAGACCCATATCTGGGAGGTACGGCCTGGTCCATTGCTTTCCCAAAATATTGGGAGCATTCTGAACTAAAGAAACAGACCAAAGGCGAACCTCAAAGGTCTAGAAAACTCATGGCATCTCATGACATTCGGAGGAAAGTGAGGAGTTGGCACAGGACTCTTTTGTGCAAACCCAACAAGTTGCACAAGTTGCACCAATCTTGGCGTCCCAACGCAGGGTCAAAGTTGAAACCCTTCAAGTGCTTTGCAAAGTCGCTGTACACCTCAACCACTAGGGGGCTAGCCAAGGGGTTCCCTGAAGTTCTCTGATCAATGTGATCAATGAATATTCATGATATATTGAGAAGGTAGATCTCTGTAGTCTCCTCATTTTGGGTTCTTCAAACTCGAGCAGTCAGGCATCACATTCTTCGAACTTGGCCAGAGGGTTGATCCATCCGGAAAACAAAACACTGGCTGTGCTCCGCACGTCTGGTCGGCCCTTGATCTCTGTGGTGAGATCCATGAACTGAATCTGCGAAGCGGTTGAGTGGTCAGATCTCGCCAGTGAAACTGCCCGTTTCTCGCACACATTGGCAAACTACTGACATGGAGAGGAAAGATTTTGTGCAAAAGATCCAAACAATACTATTGATTAGTTTCTGTATTGTGTCTGTTGTTTTTTTTGCGCTAATGTTTCAGTAGGGGAAAGGCATTCTGTGATATGCAATTGCAATATTTCAGCTACCCTCCGGCAATGTGGCGATGGAAAAATACCCGAACTCAATGGAAGCTTCGTTCGCTCGGAAAACATCGAACTGGTGAACTTTCCAGCCATGTTTGATGACACCGGAGGCTACTCATATATCATACATGGGTGAAAAACTGACAAATCTATGCCAAAGCAAGGGCTATGAAGTGAGGCCTGCTGGTGGATTATCATAGATTCACCCTACCGATGTCTTTCCAATGACGCCGTCCGTCGCACCATACGCGTCAGCGCCACGAAGTTACTGGCGCTGAAAATGGCCATGCACCTGCCGGAGAGGCATGGTCATGATCAACCCGCTCCTCCCAGGAGGTCCCACGTGCTCTTGGACTTGCATTGCATATTACTGCATATTTGCATATACCCACATACACATTCAAATACAGGTGCGTGTGTGTGTGTATATACATAGAAAGTACATGTACCCATATAGACCGACATATATATATATATACATACCATACCATACCATTAAATTACATTAAATTATATTATATTACACTACACTACACTACATTGCGTTACATTAGAAACATTACATGCATACATTCATGCATACATACATGTTATATATATATACAATATATATTTATATATATACTATATATATACAGTATAAATATATATAATATAAATATATATACAGTATATATATATACAATATATACATATACCTAAAATATACATATATACAGTGTATATATATATATGTACAATATATATATATATGTACATTATATATATACAATATATGTATACTATATATATATACTTATGTACAACTTATATATATACACAAGTTTATATATATATATATACACAATTTTAGATATACAATTTTATATATATATACAATTTATATATACAATATGTACATGCCATTTATATATATATATACACGTATGCATGTACAATATGTACATATATACAATATATATATATATACATATTCATGTAAACAATTTATATATATATATACACAAAATATGTATATATATATATTAACTATATACTATATACTATATAAACACTACAAACAACATATAAGTTCTGGGAAGATTTCTACTGGAAATAAGATTCTCCATGCAGTCAATGTGATCTGTGTGTCGTGGCCACATTCCTGAGCAAGCCATCTAAAGCTGGAGACTTGATCAGTCGCTATGGTTCTCAGTGCACGAGTTGGTCAAAGCACCAACAATAAGGAACAACTCAACACTACAATGGAAAAGGAACGCTCTGTAGCTGCCTTGCTGGAACACTCTGAAAAGTTCCGCCTCTGTTTCAAATTGATTGCTGTTTTTAGAACAACAACAACAACAACAACAAACCAACCAACCAACCAACCAACCACCCACCCACCCAACCAACCAACCAACAACAACAACAAACGAAGGCCGATCTTCACAAATAGATGTGAAATGTTGGAAAATCCCACTCTTTCTCCACCTTATCCACCATCTCTATGCCAATGTCCATTGGATTGGTTTAAGGGAAAATCCACAGGAAACAATGGTTTCTACCATTATAAACAATGGTTTTTTCCTTCAAATGTTCCCTCGAAGCATTCTGAGATGTTCACAGACGTTGCCCGGTCACCGGGTCACCGGACGTTGCCAGGGTCGTGGCCCAAGCAGAGATCGTTCGTGTCGTGGCCTCGGTGAAGCGGTCAGCGATGTGAAGCCGTGAAGCAGTGAATGAGCCATAGGCATCCATAGACTATGACTATAACGAATGATCGTTACATGATAGTGAAATGTCATCAAAAACCACTATGCCTATGACTATGACTATGACTAATTATAGAGAAATGATAGTGAAATATCATCAAAAAGTGACTATGACTATGACTATGACTAATGATCGTAAAATGGTAGTGAAATGTCATCAAAAAATGATGATGACTATGGCGACTGAAAGGGAAATGATAGCGAAATGTCATCAAAAAATGACTATGAATGATCGTGAAATGATAGTGAAATGTCATCAAAAAATATTTATGACTATGACTTATGATAGTGCAATGATAGTGAGATGTCATCAAAAAATGACTATGGCTAATGACCATGAAATGATAGCGAAATGCCATCAAAAAATGATTGTGACTATGGCTAATGATAGAGAAATGATAGGGAAATGTCATCAAGAAGTGACTACGACTATGACTATGACTAATGATAGTGAAATGATAGTGACATGTCATCAAAAAAACTATTACTATGACTATGACTAATGATAGTGAAATGACAGTGAAATGTCATTAAAGATACTACAGACTATGGCTATGACTATGACTAACGATAGCGCAATGATAGTAAAATGTCATCAGAAAATGGCTAAAACTATGACTATGACTATGACTAATGATACTGAAATGATAGTGAAAAGTCCTCAAACAAATGACTATGACTATCACTATGACTATGACTACTGATTCTGAAATGATAGTGAAATGCCATCAAAGAAACCATAGACCATGACTATGACTAATCATAGCGAAATGATAGTGAAATGTCATTAAAAAAATTTGAGTATGATTCATGGTAGTGAAGTGATAGTGAAATGTCATCAACAAAAAGGACAGTAGCTTTGATTATGACTGTGACCCATGATAGTGAAATGATAGTGACATGCCTCCAAAGATACTATAGATTATGAGTATGGCTATGACTAATGATAGCGAAATGATAGTGAAATGCTAGTGAAATGTTATCGACAAAAATGACTATGACTACAACTATAACTATGACTATGACTAATGATAGCGAAATGATAGTGAAAAGTCCTCAAACAAATGACTATGACTATCACTATGACTATGACTACTGATTCTGAAATGATAGTGAAATGCCATCAAAGAAACCATAGACCATGACTATGACTAATCATAGCGAAATGATAGTGAAATGTCATTAAAAAAATTGAGTATGATTCATGGTAGTGAAGTGATAGTGAAATGTCATCAACAAAAAGGACAGTAGCTTTGATTATGACTGTGACCCATGATAGTGAAATGATAGTGACATGCCTCCAAAGATACTATAGATTATGAGTATGGCTATGACTAATGATAGCGAAATGATAGTGAAATGCTAGTGAAATGTTATCGACAAAAATGACTATGACTACAACTATAACTATGACTATGACTAATGATAGCGAAATGATAGTGAAATGTCATCATATTTACCATGGCCATGACTATGGCTATGACTAATGATAGTGAAATGATAGTGAAATGCCATCAAAAGAATGAATATAACTATGACTATGACTAGTGATAGTGTGAAATGATAGATAGTGAAATGTGATCAAAAAAAAACTGACTATGACTACAACTATATCTTTGACTATGACTAATGATAGCGAAATGTTAGTGAATGCCATCAAAAAAAGACTATGACTTTAACTATGACTATGACTAATAATAGTGAAATCATTGTAAAATGGCATCGAAACAATGACTATGACTTTAACTATAAATATGAATATGACTAATGATAGTGAAATGATACTGAAATGTCATCAAAATATGACTATGACTAATGATAATGACATGATAGATAGTAAAATGTCATCAAAAAAGGCATTGACTATGACTATGGCTAATGATAGTAAAAGAATAATGAAATGATAGTGAAATGGCATCAACAAAAATGAGTATGACTATGACTATGACTAATGATAGTGGAATGATAGTGAAATGTCAATTGAAAAAATACGATGACTATGACTATGACTAATGATAGTGACATGAAAGTGAAATGTCATCAAAACAACGACTATGAAAATGACTATGACTATGACTAATGATAGTGACATGATAATGAAATGTCATCAGAAAATGGCTATGACGAATGATAGTGAAATAATAGTGAAATGTCATCAAAAAATACCTATGACTGTGACTAATGATAGTGAAATGATAGCGAAATGTTAAAGAAATGACTATGACTTTAACCATGACTTTGACTATGGCTAATGATAGTGAAATGATTGTAAAATGTCATCAAAAAAATGACTATGATTATCCGCCGACCCCTGCCGTTGCCACTGCAGGGGGAGGCGCCCGAGACAGCGAAGCATCAGCAGCGGCCTGTTCTCCTTCACTGGCAGGCAGTTCAGGAGCTGACGGCGCCACGACCAGCTGCCCTTCGAAGGCACGATCTGTCCCGCAGTCCCATGCTCTTTCGGCGTGGCAAAACGTTTTTGAGCCTTTTGGCTGGCCTTTGAACCTTGTTCTATAGGCGTTTCAAAGCGAGCAAATGGGTCACGACCTAGCGGCCCTTCGAGAAGCCTTCCGTCCTTCACTGCCATGCGAAGGGTGCTTTTTCCCGAGCTGGCGGCTGCTCTTGGCATTCTTCTTTCACCGTTAGAAGGCGACCTGATGTCTTCCGATCGGGCAGCGGCGCGAAGCCTTCCGTCCTTCACTGCCATGCTGTTAAAGCGTGGCGAAGGGTGCTTTTTCCCGAGCTGACGGCTGCTCTTGGCATCCCTTTTCATATCAAGATATGGGCTTGAAGGGTGTGTATATATATATACATATTATATATATATATATCGATCTATCTGTTTATCTATCCATGTATCTAATCTAATCTAATCTAATCTAATCTAATCTATACAATCTAATCTAATCTAATCTAATCTAATCTAATCTATCTATCCATCTATCTATCTATCTATCTATCTATTCTATCTATATATACATATATATATACACATACATATACATAGATACATTAAACTGATTTTGTATTCTGTCGCCATACTCTCTTCTTTCCACTGCCATGCCCCCCATAAAGGATGGTCGGGGCGGTAGCCCTACTTATATAACTATGACTATGACTATGAAAATGACTAATGATAGTGAAATGATAGTTTAATGTCATCAAAAAAATGACTATGACTCAGACTATGACTAATGATAATGAAATGATAGTGAAATGTCATCAAAAAAACGACTATGACTATGACGAATGATAGTGAAATGATAGTGAAATGATAGTGAAATGATAGTGAAATGATAGTGAAATGATAGTGAAATGATAGTGAAATGTCATCAAACAAAAAAGTACTATGACCATGACTATACCACAAGCATACGAATTGGTGAATTGGTGAACCACAGATCATCAAATATCCTTACCCTCTGGTAAACATACAAAAAACTATGGAAAATCACCATTTTCAATGGGAAAATCCACTATAAATGGTCATTTTCAATAGCTATGTTAGTTTACCAGAGGGTAACCTCATTCAGATATATTGTCAAAGCTTGCCACATGAAAATCGGAGATCATCTTCCCAAGGAGCCCGTGATCTGGCGACGACTGAGACATCCAGACATCCAAAAGCAAGCCACAGCCCGTGGATATCTTCAGTACGGTAGAAATTAAAATCTGATGTCTGGCAGGGAAGATATAATATATATATATATATATCATATATCATATATCCTAAAATCAAGTAGATATCTCATAAGCATCAAAGAATACACGTGGGGTTTTCTGAGTAACTTGTCATCGTCCTGCATCGTCCTGCATCGTTCTGCACCATGGATCCACGGATCCACCATCACCATGTCATGTCAAGTGACGGTTTTCATCCACCACGGCGCATCCCGCTCCAGGTGCACATGGTACCTCGGTACCAGAAAAGTCACAGCAGTCACAGAAAATTCCGGTCGCATCATGAGCTCCACCAAAGCTCCTGGGTCTCCGCAACGTGGTATGTGTGAACTTATCTGCACTCAAGACCTTGGCTATAGGAAGGTATTGGAAGCTATTGCTTCACTGAATATCACCATGATGTAACTTTCCGACAGTACAAAGAACAGGAAGGACCTGTGCTGGTTGAAGTGGGTGCCTAGGTCGAATCCGGTACCATTGCCATCTGCGGACGTCCCTCTAAATTTCAGGTGAGCCTGGAAGGGCACCACGTGCGACTCTCCAAAAAGGAAGGGCCGTGACCAGACCTGCCACGTAAGCAGAGCGCTTACGTCCTTTGCAAACCCCAGAAGGGGTGCAGAAAAAGTCGGTGACAAAAAACCATGGGTTTTCCTATGGTAATTTGCACCAGAAGTTGGGATTCTGGGTTTTCCTATGGGTTTTCCTATGGGTTTTCCTATGGGTTTTCCTATGGTAATTTGCACCAGAAGTTGGGATGATGGTAGTATAATATAAACCCCAATTTGGGCCGTATGGTGTGTGGATCTTTGTGCCCTTTTTTTCAACCAAAGAACTGCACCACGTCCCCAAGGACCGATAAAGTGTCGGCCTCTCCAGACTGGTGCACTCTCCTGAGCTGCGCCAGGGGATGCAGCTGGGTCAAAAGGACCAGTTTCTCGCAAGAGTCACAGCTCGCAACGGTGCTGACATCCTCGGCCCCAGTGATGTACCCTCTGGTGAACTAACATAGCAATGGAAAATCACCATTTTCTATGGGAAAATCCACTATAAATGGCCATTTTCAATTGCTATGTTAGTTCACCAGAGGGTACATGGTAAAACCATGTAAAACCAAGGGGCTTGAGCTGTGTCTGGTACTGCAGGCTCAAGTGCGACTTTGGAAACTGCGAGGCGCAGTCAAATCGGGGTCAATTTGTTTATCCAGACGTTTCTTCATTGATACTCCATGAAATCAAACATCGGTCTGTTGTAATTGTTCTGGCTGAACATGGAAATAGTATAGGTTTCTTGTATTTTCTTGTATTATAGTCTCTACATATCTCTAACGGCTTCCACTCTGTTCAAAGACTTTCAGAAAATGGCATCGGTAGTGAAAGGTGCTCTCTTCGATTTTCAACGTCAAACTTTCGTCATCATCGTCATCGCTATCATCATGATGATAAATGACCTGGTGGGTTGAAATCATCTGACAAAATGTACCTGCAGTGCATAAACAAGAGATTTCATTGGCAAGTACATTCTCAGTACATTCTCAATGCGCAATGTTCAATATTCTCTGGTTGGTGGTTTTAACCATCTTGAAAAATATGAAAGTCAAGGGAAGGATTATCCCATATATAAAATGGAAAATAAAAAATGTTTGAAACCACCAACCAGTTCTTCAATGTGCAGCACCACTTCCATGGAGACACCACCAAAAATGGCGCCTCTCGTGCCGACGGGATCAACAGCGTGCAATCGGGGCACTTCTCTTCGTCCTGTTGGGGTTTCCAGGCGTGGATAAAAACCAATCTGCAGAGATCTGTCAGTTCGCTTCTGCAGGTTCTGGTAAAAACTATGTAAAAATGACATATAAAAAAAAAAACAAACAAACAATGTTTTTTAGGCAAATCCAAAGTGCCACGTTTTTGATGCATCAGATATCAACCCTGACCACCGAGCTTCACAACCGAATCATGATGGGATTCAATGGGTCCTCAGCAAACCGAACCAGTTGAACCAGTTGAAATCCCCGAAATCTGACCATTTTTTTGCAAAAAAAAAACCATGCGTCAACGGGTCCATAGTGGCGATGACCCTGGGACTTTCTGTCTCAGTCCACCAGAAAACGCAGCTGTACCTGTGCAGATGCGCGCAACTGCATAGGGATGCCTCCAGTCGAAATCTGTGTGAAGCTTCGGGCCTGTGTCATTTCCCAACGGAGCTGGCATAACCGGGCGCACATGGTCACATTGTGCTGAAATTTGGGCGGATTCATTTGGCAGCTGGTATTGTCCATGCTCAAGTTCATCAAGTAACTGGCAAAGCGAACTGCGAAAAACGGCGGCAGGTAGGTTTGTACTCTTGGGATAAATGTCAGGTATATAGCATATGTATTCATGTATGTATATATATACGTATGTATATACGTATGTATTATATATATAATATATATATATATACATACGTATGTATAGTAAAATTTGGCCCCGGAGAAGAATGGATACATTTTCGCAGCTCAAGGTTTTAACCACCGGAACGCAGCAGGTCGCAACAGGTCGCCACTCACCTGTAGTTGCTGACCTTCTGTTTGATGTGAACCTGAGATCGCGGAGGAAACTGTGCTCAGAGCTATTGAGATCAACTTGGAACATCCTGAATGGTGAACCCGGCAGCCTGGCAGGTTGGGAAAGCAAAATGGAACACGCGGGGTTGTTGATGACCGTAGTGACAAGACGGGGATGAAAAGGGATTAAGAACAGCCTCCGGACAATCTATGAATCCATTTGCAAACACATTGCCCAGCTTCATCCAATTTCATCCACCTTCTAATTTTCGGCACATTATTGCACATTATATGTAATTAATTGGCTTCTGTCAAAGGGCTACAGTAATTACCCCTCAGTTCCAGTGGTTTCTGGTGCTGAATCCTCCAGTTTCGAACACCGGGATTCTGCACGTGGAGGATTCGGCATGGTGATGATGTCTGATCGGTAAAAAAGAACGTCCCTATTGAAATTTGAAATCCGGAAATTCATGTCTTTGGTACTCCTATCCCGCCAAGTTTCTTGATCTCACATTTGAAAAAAAAATGAAAAACATACCTACGGAACTTCCGGAACACATGTGGCTTCCCATCTTTTCCAGAGTCATCCGCCAGCATCTGGGTTTCCTGCCAAGTATGTCAGGGTCTTTTCGCCATCGGCTGACCTGGATTATGGCGATGGCGATGACAAATTTAACATCAAAGAATCCACGATGTGGCTGGATGACAAATAGGTCATACTTAAATCATCCTTAAATAGGAAAAACATGACTTAATTTTTTTGACATAAAATTCGGCCAAATAGGTCTCCCAATTCACAGTATCTCATTGCTCCTGGCAATACGTGTCACTCGCTTTCCGCCTTTGGAAACCACTGAACTCAACGGCTACATCATTCACAAAATGCCAGCGCCAACTTGCAGATCCCGATTTTGTTTGTGTCCAACAGTCGGCACCGAAATCGGCGCGGCAAAGTCCCCGGGTCCCTGATCTGCCAAGCAGCTCCAATTGCACACTGACAGATCTTGACCACTGTGGTGGTTCACCAACCTGCCAAAGTTTCGCCAGAGTTTCACGGGTTCACCGGGGGTTTTAGGCGCCATTCGAGGATTAGATGGATAGATGGATTTATCCTTTGGTTCTTGTCCATGGTTTTTGGGGTTTAGGGTGTAGGGATTTGGATTTAGCGTCTTACGGTCTTAGGGTTTTACGGTTTTAGGGTGTTGGCATTCAGGATGCCTTGTGCAATGACGCACAGGTCCCCTACCTGATTTTTCAGGAGTAACAGCATGACCTGCAATTTATATAATGTTTTGAGAGTGCCTCGGGTAAATTGGGGTGTTTCCATGTGTTTCCCCACAGCATTAGTGATGGTTCAAATATATCGAGGATCGGGGATGCAAACACAATTATGTGTGGGCACCTGGCATACTCTGAGTCGGTGGTCCGAGCATTGATTTTGCATCATGTCTTTGACAACTAGCAATTCATCAAATCATACT